GAAACAAATCTCAAAACTCAGCGGCTTGGGCTGGAGTGATAGGACAGCGGGTAGGGCGCTTGCCTTGCACACGGTGGACCGGGATTCGATTCCCAGCATCTCATATGGTCCCCCGAGCATCACCAGGAGTAATTCCTGAGTGAAGAGCCAGGAGTAACCCCTGTGCATCGCTGGGTGTGACCCCCCCAAAAAAACCCAGCGGCTTTTGGCAGAAATGCGTCCGGACCCCACAGTAGGTTACTGTTGCTGGGCCACTCCAGGGGGAAAAGGGTGCTGTCTCTCCGTCTCTCCACCTGTTTCCCCTTTTTGGGTTGGTGGCTGCCATCCTCCAGAGGCCATTGGACAGTCAGGTTTGGGCCCGCAGTGATGAGACACGCAGGGCCTCACAGGATGGGGGTGGAGCCGGCCCTTTCCTACCCACCCAACAAGACCTCGAGTCACCGCTCACAACAGCCTCTCTGGCTCCTGATCAAGCTGCTTAACAGCCACAATCCCAGAGACTCAGAAACAAATCTCGGAACCCAGCAGGTTTTGGCAAAAATCCCTCCAGATTTAATTGTTGGAATTTCGGAATTCCAAAATCGTGCGGCCACTACTGTGGCCACATGACATCATATGTTATTCATAACCAGAAATAGAAAACAAATTGTCTACTGTTACCTTTTTAGCAGGGCTGGAGCGATAGCACAGTGGGTAGGGCCTTGCACACAGCCAATATGGCTGACCCAAGTTTGATTCCTCCTCCCTTCTTGGAGAGCCTGGCAAGCTACCAAGAGTATCTCGTCCGCACAGCAAAGTCTGGCAAGCTACCCATGGTGTATTCAATATGCCAAACACAGTAACAATAAGTCTCATGATGGAGACGTTACTGGGCCCGCTCAAGCAAATCAATGAACAATGGGAGTACAGTGACAGTGAAGTGACCTTTTCAGCAGATCTGAGTGTTGGGGTAAAATCCAAAATAATAATGGTGGGTCTGGTGTCGAAATATTGAATGTAATCAAAGTAGACATCACCATTCTACAAAGAAGTGATCGTTGATGTCAAGAGAGGGGTGCGGCAGGGTGATACCATTTCACCGAAACTCTTCAGTGCCACCCTCGAGAACATCATGCGACGACTGGAATGGGAAGGAATGGGAGTGAAGATAGATGGTCGGCAACTACCCCACCTCCGCTTTGCTGATGACATTGTTTTAATAACACCAAACATCAGCCAAGCGGCACAAATGCTGGCCGACTTTGACCGTGAGTGTGGAAAGGTAGGACTACAGCTGAATCTTATGAAGACAATGTTTATGAGAAACAGCCTTGTTCCTGACGCCCCATTCGCTCTCAATGGAATGACCATCTCCGAATGCAACAGCTATGTGTACCTAGGTCGAGAGGTCAACATGACAAATGACCTGGCACCCGAGCTGCGCAGGAGGAAGAGAGTGGCTTGGAACGCCTTCAAGAGCGTCGAAGAAATAGCTAAGAGGACGAAGAACCTCCGGCTCATCTCTTTGATTCCACTGTTCTTCCTGCATTAACATATGCCTCAGAGACCTGGGCCCTCCGCAAACAGGATGAGAACGAACGCTATTCAGGTCTCCCAAAGAAGAATAGAAAGAGCTATGCTTGGAATATCACGTTTCACTCAAATGAGAGAAAGAATCCGGAGTTCTGACATCCATCGACAATCAAGGATCAGGGACGCTGTCTCATTTGCCAAGGTGTCGAAAATCAGATGGGCTGGTCACGTAATGAGATTTAAAGACGACCGCTGGACTAGAGCTGTTACCGACTGGATTCCACGGGATGTCAAAAGACCGCATGGCCGCCCACCTACCAGATGGTCAGACTTCTTCGTCAAGATCACGAATGATCGGTTTGAGGCCCTTCATGTTCCCGGAGCGAACAGATGCCATTGGGCTACACTAGCACGCGACAGGGACAAATGGAGACGTTACTGGCGCCTGCTCGAGCAAATCGACGACTGACGGGAAGTTAAGTGATTAAGTGATTAATCAAAGTAGAGAGAGAGTAATATGGAAAGCCTCTGTCCCACAGGTAGGGGGAGGGTGTGGGAGGAGGGATATACTGGGGGTTTTGGTGGTGGAAAATGGGCACTGGTGAAGGGACAGGTGTTTCATAGTATGACCAAGACCTAAACCCGAAAGCTTTGTAACAGCTCTCATGATGATTCAATAAATAAAATCATAAAAAAAGGAGTTCATGCCCAATTCAATCAGCCCCATCAATGGCTGAATAAATAGCAATACTCCTACATTTAAAAAAGAGAGAGAGAGAGAGAGAGAGACAAAGCAGACAAAAGTGTTTCTTCTTTTGTCTTGTTTGTTCTGTGGGGGATGCAGCACAGGTCCAGGCTCTTCTGCTGAGGCCCCCACACAGGACCAAAGTACGACCCCACGGGCAGATTCCAGGCAGAAAAAGCGCTTTCAGCCCCAACCCCAACTGAACCCGCCCTTAGTCCCGCCCCCGCCCGGCCCCACCCCTCCCACCCTCGGCCCCTCCCCTACAGTGCTTGGTCCCGCCCTCGGCCCCGCCCTGCCCATGCTCGACCCCGCCCTCGCTCGCCCTTGCCCGCCCTCAATCACGCCCAACAGCTCTAAGCCTGCCCTTGGTTCCGCCCCTGTTTGCGCTCGGCCCCGCCCACACCCAGTCGCGCCCGGCCCCGCCCCGCCCACCCTCGGCCCCTCCCCTACAGTGATTGGCCCCGCCCTCGGCCCTGCCCCTGCCCGTGCTCGACTCCGCCCTGGCTTGCCCTTGACCGCTGCCCTCAGCCCGCCCTTAATCACGCCCAACCAACCGCTCTAAGCCTTCCCTTGGTTCCGCCCCTGTTCGCGCCAGGCCCCTCCCCTAGAGTGATTGGCCCCGCCCTCGGCCCCGCCCCTGCCCATGCTCGACCCCGCCCAGGCTCGCCCTTTCCCGCCCTCGGCCCCGCCCCTGCAGCGCTCAGCCCCGCCCTTAATCACGCCCAACCGCTCTAAGCCCGCCCGTGGTTCCGCCCCTGTTCGCGCTCGGCCCTGCCCACACTCTGTCCCGCTCGGTCCCGCCCCCACCAGCGCCCGGCCCCGCCCCTGTCAGCTCTTGACCCCGCCCTCGACCCCGCCCCCGACGCGCTCAGCCCCGTCCTTAATCACGCCAACCGCTCTAAGGCCCTGCCCTTGGTCCCGCCCCTGTTAGCGCTCAGCCCCGCCCGTGCCCGCCCTCGGCCACGCCCCGCCCGTGCTCAGCCAGGCTCAACCCCTGGACCCGGTGGACACCGAGTCACGCCCCCCAAGCCCGGCGTGGCCCACGGAGGCCTGCGGAGAGCGAGGGGCGGGGCCCATGCAGGCTGCGATCCCCGCAAGGTCCTGCACGCCCCCGCGCCGTCCGCTGGGATCCGGCAGCACTGACCGCCCGGTGCGGGGGACACACGCGCCCTGACTTCCGCCCCCCCCCCCCCCGCACAAAACGCCGAGGACAAGAACGGGCCGATCTGCCCTGTCCAGGAGCCTGCCCCTAGGAACGCCCGGCGCGCGGCCACGCCCGCCGTCAGCGCCCCGCCGCGCGGACCCCAGAGGCTCCGACAGATGCCCACGTTGCCTGGGTCCCCGGGCACCGCCCTGCACCCCGGGCACAGGCTGAGCAGAGCAGGTGCCGGGCGGCCGGCCCGCGGGGCCCAGGGGCGCCGTCCTCCCCGCAGGCGCTGGGCACCCGTTCTCCGACCGACCGCCCCCGGGCCGGGGTCTCCCCTCCCCCAGGGCCGCCCGGGCCCCACTGCCGGCGGGGCCCACCTCCAGCGAGGCGGAAGAGGGGAAGGGCCCTCCGCGCAGCCCCTCCTGGCCAAACGGGCTCCCTGGGGTCCCTGCGGGGGAGCCCCCACTCCGCGCGTCCGTCCGCGCTGCTGCCTCGAAGCCCGACGCCAGGGGGCGCGCGAGCAGCGCCCTCCGCCCACAGGCGCGGCGGGCCTGGAACCGCGGAGCGCGCTGGACGGCGCGTCCGGCCGCCCCCTCCGGGCCGGGACCACCCCGGGCGCCCCCTCTCCGCAGGGCCACTCTCGCGGGGGCTGCGGCCGCGCACGCCCGGCCCTCCCCGTCTCGCCGGGCCCGACACTCACGTGCGGCGGCGGGCAGGGGGCTCCCGGGGTCCCCGCGCCGGGCACGCGCGCAGAGAGCGGGTCCCGGAGCCGCGGCGCCCCCGCCCTGCCGGGGCCACCCGGACGTGCCACTCCCGGGCAGCCCGGGGGGCGCGGCGACCCTCCCGCGGCAGCCGTCGGGCGGCGGGGCGCCGCGGGACGGCCCGGCCCGCGGAGGAAAGCCCGCAGGGCCCGCGTGACCTCTGCGCGCCCGTCTCCCCCCGCGTCCGCGACCCGCGGGGCCCCCGCTCCGGCCCCTCCGGCTCGCGGCGCGCCCCGCGCGCACAAAGGACGGGGGCGGCGGGGCGGGGGGCCTTTGTTCCCGCCGCAGCCTCCCCGCGGGGAGAGGCGCCTCGCGCTCCGGAGCCCGCCCGCCCGGCCCCGCGGAGGGAGAGCCGGCGAGGCGCGGGGGGCCCTCGGAGCGCACGCCGGAGGCCTTGCCGGAGGCGGGGTCCGCGCGCCGCACGTCGCGCGGCCGCTTTAAGAGCGGGCGCGGGGCGCGGGGCCGGGGCGGAGGGCGGAGGGCGGCTCGCCGGGCCCGGCCCCCGCCCCCCGGGCCGCCGCCTCTAATCTGCACCCGCGGCCCGGCTCCGGCTGACGTCACCCGCCCCGAGCCGCGCGCGCTGATTGGCTGCGGGTGACGTCAGGGCCTTTTTCGCTCCGCATGACCTCATCCCCCGCCGCCCGCCCAGCGCCCGGGCCTGTCACCGCGGCCGAGCGCGGCGGCCCAGCCGGCCCCGCGCCCCCGCCCCGCCGCACGCCCGCGCCGCCCGCGCCCGGCCCGCGCCCCGCCGCCCCGGCCGCGCCCGCCGTGGGATGCGCGCCGCGAGCGCGCGTGTCCGCCCCAGTGCGCGCGCCCCGGCCCGAGCGAGCGCTGCCCGCGGCGGCGGCCACGGCCACGGCCACGCGACCCGCGCGGTCCCCCGCTCCCTGCCCCGGCGGCGCGGGCCCCCCGCGGGCCCATGGGCGGCTCCGGCGAGCGGGCGCCCTGAGCGCGGCGCGGGTCCCCGGTGCGCGCCGGCGGCGGCGGCGGCGAGCGTGAGCAAGGTGAGCGGGGGCGCGGGGACCGGGGGGCGCGGGGACTCGGGCGCCGGCTGGAGGGCGCGGGGCCGGGGAGCGGGGACCGAGGCGCGGGGACGGGGGCGCGGGGACCCAGGCGCCGGGAGCGCGGCGCGGGGAGGCGGAGCTGCGGGGATGCGGGGCGCGAGGATGCGGGGATGCGGGGCGCGGGGCGGCTCTCCCGGGGGGCCCACCCCTTGCGCCCTGCGCCTTCGGGGCGGCTGCGCTCGGCAGGCCCCGGGAAGAGGACGCGGCCCCGAAGCCGGCTGACAGGGACGTCCCGGTACGGACGGACATCGCGGTGCCCGCGTCCCCCGCCGCCCCAGCGCCCGGGAAACCCTGGCCCGGCCCACCCCGCCCGCGGCTTCCCCGGGGGACTCCTTGACGAAGGACCCGCGGCCGCCGAGCCCCGCGCGCCCGCACCCCGCACTCGGCCCTCCGCGGGGCCCGACACCGAGGCGCAGGACCGGGGGCGGCGGGCCACCCCGGGGCCCTCGGGGCGAGACTGCTCTACCATCGCCCCGTGCGGCCGCGCGCCACCTTGGGCCTCTGCGGAACCGAGGCTGCGGCGCCCGCCACGGCTGGGGGAGGGGCTGGCAGTGCCAGGCTGGGCGCCCGCAGCCTCCCTCGCCCGCAGCGCCAGCCCCGCTCCAGGCTGGCCTCCCGGAGGGGAGCGGCCGACAGGGCCCAGGCTCGCCGGTCCTGGCCGCGGCCGCCGCGGGTGGGGGCAGGCGCAGCGCTGGGCCCAGCTGGGGTCTCCATCGGATGGGCAGCCGGGAGGGAGGGCAGGTCTGGGGAGGGGCGGGCCGGGATCAGGGCGCCCCAGTGGGTCCCGGGAGCTGCTGAGGCGGACTGCGGACTCCGGACTCCGGACGGGCCTGACCAGAGCAGAGCCCCGGAGTGGCCCAGCCAGCACCTGTGCCTTCCGCGGTTTCCCCGCCTGTGTCATATGTGGCTCCTGGGGAGGGTGTGTTATGGCCAGAGGGCCTGCGCCTGTGACACCAGGCCGGCTGCACCAGCCTACCTTTGCCTGCTGGGACTGTGGCTACTGAGGCCTGAGCGGGCCTGGGTCTTGTGGGAACTGTGGCCGTGGCCGGGCAGGGCCGGGTCTTGTGGAGACTGTGGCCATGGAGGCCGGGTGGGCCTGGGTCACTTTCCTGGGCCTCCCTGGTGTGGGAGGACAATGAGTGGACCCAGGTCGGTCGTGGGGACAACAGTGGGACAGTGCAAGGCCACAGACCGGTGAGGGGCACAAGCCACCAAACCAGACTTGTGGGGTCCTGAGCTCACCTCTCCAGGACTCTCCCAGCTGCCCCCACACCAGCTCAGCCTGGGACAGTGTGGCCGAGTGTGCTGGGGCCAGCTGGGGCGGTGAGGCTGAGTACTGCAGACCTTGGGGGTGCCCGTCCCGTCAGCTCCATGTGCCACTGCCCCAGGGGCTCCCCTGAACCCCCCCGAGGCCAAGGACACCCCTGGGTGAAACCCCCACCCACTGTCTCCGGTCCTGGCTGACCTGTGTGGGACAGTGAGCTCAGCCTGGCCTGGAGGGCTGCGGGAGGCGCTGCCCAGCGGGTGGTTCATGGCTGTGTGTCCTGCAGGGGGGAGATGTGCATGTGTGTGTTCACACCTGTGCACACTTGTACTCTGTGTATGTGTGTGCCACCTATGCAGTGTGTGTGCAGTGTGTATGTGCATGCAGTGTAGATCTGTGTGCCATGTGCACGTGTGTGAAGTGTTTCTTTGGGTCATGTGCCATCTGTCGTGTATGCTGTGTTGCAGTGTGTATCTGTGTGCTATATGATGTGTATGCATTGTGTACATGTCTGCCATGTATGTACCTGTGTTTGTGTGCAGTGTGTACGTGTGTATGCAGTGTAGGTGTCTGCCATCTGTGTACAGGTGTATGTGTGTAGTGTGTACATGTCTGCTGTGTGTGCGCTGTGTGTACATATACGTACAGTTGTGTCTTCCTTGTGTGTACATATGTGCAGTGTGTACATGTCTGCCACGTGTGTATGTGTATATGTGCAATGTGTAGCTAACTGCCGTGTGTGTGCTGTGTGTACATGTGTGAGCAGTGTGTATGTGTCTGCCTTGTATGTAATGTGTATGTGTTCAATGTGTACATGCCTGCCATGTGTATATGTGTATGTTGCACTGTGTACATGTGTGCCTTTCTTTGTGTGTGCCATATGTATTGCAATATGTGTGCAGCATGTATATGTCTGCACATGTGTGCAGTATGTGTGCATGCGTGTGCCTGCATTTGTACTTATCTGTGTGGTGCACTCATGAGTTTATTGTGTGCCTTGTATACATCTGTGTGCATGTGTCTGCATGTATGTGGTGTGTATGTGCATGTGTCTGCAGGTGTAGACACAGGAGTACACAAGCATGCACATGTGTGCACTAGTGTGGTGCAAACATGTATTCATGCACATGTTTGGTGCATTGTGTGCTTGCACACATGTCTGCATGTGTGTTGTGTGTCCATGTGCATGTCTGTATCCATGTGTCTATGGTATGTGTGGCTACATGTGTCTGGCACATACATAGATGTCTGCATGTGTGTTGTGTGCATGCGTACGTGTGTGGTGTCTGTGTGCATATGTCTGTGTGTGTGGTGTGTGGCTCCGTGCATCTGGTGCATACACGTGGATGCACATGTGTCTGCATGTGTTGCTGTGTGGTAGTAGCACAGCAAGCAGGTGTGCTGGACTGTGCGGTGGTCTACGTGTGGTGGGTCCTGTGGCGCCGAGTCCTGCTTTCTGGGTCCTCATGCTCTGGGCGGGGGCTGCTCTCCCAGAGTCACCGGCCTGTCCTGGGAATGACTGGTGTGCCGGCCGGCCGGCTCTGGACCAGCAGGAAGACCAGGCCTCTGAGGCTGTGCCCGGCGGGGGCGTAGGGGTGGGTGCGTGAAAGCAGGAGTGGGGGGTGTTCTGTGCGCCTCCCCATCAAGGCCTGAGCCCTCAGACCTCCCCCCACGTCTCTGGGGACTTATCTCCCGTGGCACCTTCGTGCCAGCAGCCTGTGTGCCCCAGGCCCTGGGGAAGCCCCTGGGAGAGGGCGTGGTGCGGAGGAATTCTTGCACCCCTGGGGGTCACCTGTGGGGTGGGAGCGAGCTGGGACTGGCTCCTGCCGCACTGCAGCGGTTGCCATGGTGACGCCTGAGGTGCTAACTTGCTAATGAGTCCCCTTGGGCACGAATAACAACACCCAGCCTGGAGGGAGGCCTGGGGAGGGGAGCCCCCTTCCCGCTGCTTCTGCCACTCCAGGTGCCAGACCACCCACCCCAGCAGAGCTAAGGTGCTCTGGTCAGACCCCCAGATTGAGGTGCCAGCACCCCACAGCCCTCACCCCGGCACCACACACCCCTCACCCCAGCGCCCCACACCTCTCAGCCCAGACCCCTCACCCCAGCACCCCACAGCCCTCACCCCAGCACCCCACACCCTCGGCCCAGAACCCCTCAGCCCTTACTCCTCAGCCCAGCGTCCCCAAGTCCCTCGACCACACCCCTCCGCCATCCTCACACACCCCTCTCCCAGCACTCCTGGAGCCCTGCTGAAGTCCCAGCCTCCCGGGCCAGACACAGGCCTGCAGTGGCCCCGCCCTCAGCTTCACTGCCCTCTGCTGGCCTCCATCTGCCCCCCATCTGCGGTCTCCTGCCCCCCAGCACCCTGCTCTGGCTGGCCCACTACCACATGCAAACGCTCCAGCTGTGGGCTCTGTGGGCTGTGTCCACGTCCATGTGGGTAACGTCTATGCTACATGTGCCTGTGTGTATTGTGTGTATACCGCGGTGTGTATGTCTCTGCATGTGGCATGTATGTAATGTGCAGGTGTGGTTGTGTGTGTGTGGTATGGGTATGATGGCTCATTCATGTGGTGTATGCACATATGTGTGCTGAGTGCATGTACGTGTGCACTTCTGCATGTGGGCTGCGTGTGAAGTGTGTAGTATGCGACCGTGGTGTGTAGGGGTTTGACATGTGAGATGTGGTGTGCACATGTGTGATTTAGGGTGTTTCATGTGAGCACATATGTGTGGTGTACCTGTCATGTGTGTTTGATGTGTGATTTTTGTAGTATGTGTGCACATGTGTGATTTAGGGTGTTTCATGTGAGCACATATGTGTGCTGTACCTGTCATGTGTGTCTGATGTGTGATTTTTGTAGTATGTGTGCACATGTGTGATTTAGGGTGTTTCATGTGAGCACATATGTGTGCTGTACCTGTCATGTGTGTCTGATGTGTGATTTTTGTAGTATGTGTGCACATGTGTGATTTAGGGTGTTTCATGTGAGCACATATGTGTGGTGTACCTGTCATGTGTGTCTGACGTGTGATTTTTGTAGTATGTGTGCACATGTGTGATTTAGGGTGTTTCATGTGAGCACATATGTGTGGTGTACCTGTCATGTGTGTTTGATGTGTGATTTTTGTAGCATGTGTGCACATGTGTCTCGTCTGGTGGTGTATGTTTGGCATGTGGTTTGGGTGGTGTGTTCATGTGTGGTGTGTATGACACATGTATCTTTGCTGTGTGGTTGGGTGGTGTGTGCACGTGTGCACGTGCATGCTATATATTTGGGATGTGCACATGTGCAGCTCCCAAGAAGGCAGAGGCAAGGGAGCATTAGGGGAGCATTCTGACCTCCACATCATCTGGGGTCCTGGGCTTGGATGGCGTCTGCAGACTGGGGGGCGGGGGGCGGCATGAGGGAGTGTATCCAGCAGCGGCCCAGCCACCCAGCCCTCCTCCCCGCGGTCCCTTGTGCCTGGCTGTCCCCAAGGCTGGCATGGTGGTGGGGAGATGGCGCGGCTTGCCGCTGAGACCAAGCCAGAGGTGACCCTGCTCCTCTCCAAGGACGGCCCCTCTGAGCTCCTCCTCGCCCTCAGGTGTGGTACCATGGCCTCCCACGCCCAGCTCTAGGCCACAGCCACCAGCCAGCAGCTGCTGCCCACGCAGGGCCACGCCCGCCCCCACCCACTGCCACACCATGGCTGGGGACCGGCTTCCCCGGAAGGTGATGGATGCCAAGAAGCTGGCCAGCCTGCTGCGGGGCGGGCCCGGGGGCCCGCTGGTCATCGACAGCCGCTCCTTCGTGGAGTACAGCAGCTGGCACGTGCTGCGCTCCGTCAACATCTGCTGCTCCAAGCTGGTGAAGCGGCGGCTGCAGCAGGGCACAGTGACCATCGCCGAGCTCGTCCAGCCTGCCGCCCGCACCCAGGTACCGGGCGCTCCTGACCCCACTCCCCGAGAGGCAGCCGCTGCCCCTTCGCCGGGCTCTCTGTATGCGAGTGAAGCCTGGGCTCCTGGCAGCACACACAGACACACAGGTGCACGTACAGCTTGGGGTCTGGAGCACAACATGCGCGCACACACGTGCACACATAACCTGGGTTCCTGGGGCACATGCAGGCACACACACGCACACACACGCACACATGTGCATACACAGCCTGGGCTCCCAGGAGCACACACAAAGACACAAAGACACACACACATACACATGCACACGCACACGCACAGCCTGAGTTCCCCGGGACCACACACGTCCAGGGGGCACACACAAATACCCACCCCACACATGCACGCACAGTCTTGGCTCCCAGGGGTGCACGCGCGCGCAGACACACACACATACACACACACTGCCTGGACTCCCAGGATCGCATGCGGGCCCAGGTGCCCAGCCCAGGACCCCAGGGGCCTGACTGGCTTCTCCGGGTGTGACTGAGGGCAGCTCCCTCAACCTGCAGCTTGTTCCAGCAGCCCCCTCCGATGACTCGGTTGTCCAGTGCCGGGAGGGACCGCTGGGCGGCTGGGCCGCTGGGGGGTGGCCTGCAGGCCGTGGGAAAGGCCCCGCCCCTGCACGGCTGGGACGGAGACCGCGTCCCGGGAGCCCCTCGCCCAGAACTGCCGCCTCCCCGCAGCGCGCCCTCCCATTGGCTGCGCGCGCGGTCAGTCTGCGGCTGGCGGCCTGCAGGGGCCGGGACCGGCGGTGGGTTTCCTGGCCGCCCGCAGCGTGGACACCCCCCGCCCTCCCGCCGCCCGGCCCGCCGCCGCCCTGAGTGCGCCCTGGCCCCCAGGTGGAGGCCGCGGAGGCGCAGGACGTGGTGGTGTACGACCAGAGCACGCGGGACGCCAGCGTCCTGGCCGCGGACAGCTTCCTCTCCATCCTGCTCAGCCAGCTGGACGGCTGCTTCCGCAGCGTGGCCGTGCTCACAGGTGGGTGGCCCCGGCAGCGCGAGCCGGCACGGGGCAGGGAGGGCGCGACACACACACACACGGCTCTCACGACCGGGTGCACTCATGCAGGCTCACAGGGGCACGCATGCAGCTCAGACACGCGCTCACAGACGCACGCGGCTGACTCCAGAGTGTCTTACATGTGCATGCGCAGGCTCACGCCCTGATGCTCACGTGTGTAAGCACAGGCTCATACCATAGTGCTCATGTGTGTATGCACGGGCTCACACCCATAGTGCTCACGTATGTATGTGCACACCCACAGTGCGCTCACGTGTGTAAGCACGGGCTCACACCCATAGTGCTCACGTGTGTACGCACCTGCTCACACCCACAGTGCTCACGTGTGTAAGCACAGGCTCACACCCACAGCGCTCATGTATGCATGTGCAGGCTCACACCCATAGTGCTCACGTGTGTAAGCATGGGCTCACACCCATAGTGCTCATGTGTGTACGCACCTGCTCACACCCACAGTGCTCACGTGTGTATAAACACATGCTCACACCCACAGTGCTCTCACGTGTGTATGCACAGGCTCACTCTTACAGTGCTCATGTATGTATGTGCAGGCTCACACCCATAGTGCTCACGTGTGTAAGCACAGGCTCACTCCCACAGTGCTCTCATATGTGCAAGCACAGGCACACACCCATAGTGCTCACGTGTGTATGCAGTCTCTCACCTACAGTGCCCTCGCGTGTGGATGCACACGCTGACACTGTGATCCCAGCACAGGCAGGGGGTGGCGTCTGGGTACTGGGCTCCTGCTTGGCTCAGCACCGTGGCAGGAGTGGCCGTGTCCGCTTCCTCACTGCCTGGCCTGGGCCCTGGGCAGTTGTTCCTGCTGCGGCACAGACGTGTCTGGGTGTGCCTGCCTTGTGTGCCTGTGGGAGCCCACGTCCTGACTGCTGTCCCCGGTGCCTAGCCCTGCTCCCCGCTGTGGTCTCACTCTGTCCGGGCAGGGCTGGGATGGTGGCCGGAGCTCGTGCACCTGAGGAACCCAGCAGGACCGGCTGGGCTGTGGACCTTCTGTTCTGCTGCTTTTGTGCCGCTTTGGGTTTGGTTTGGGACCACGCCTGATGCCGCGGTGGGGCTCACCGCCTGGCTCTGTGCTCAGGGGACAGTGTGGTGCTGAGGGAGGAACTTGGCTTCCCACTAAGCCACGAGTGAGGGGCACTGAGTGAGCACCTTCTGCCCCTCCGCCCCGCAGCCCTCTGGGGGGGTTCTCAGTGCTGGCAGGAGTCGCATGTGCGGTGGAACTGGAGTGGGAACTGGAGGGCTCTGGGAATGCCCAGTACTGGGAGGCACCCTTCCAGCTCTGGGTGAGGGCAGATCAAGACCAGCGGGGTCTTCCTGAGACTCAGGACCGAAGGGACAGGCGGGGGCTGGGCAGCTGCTGGCACAGTGAGAAGAGCCAGACAGCTGGACCCCACTGTGGGGCAAAGGGAACTGGCCCTTTAATCCCCCCCATGCTGTGGGCACCCCACCTCCGGAGCCAAGGTCACCCAGATGAGGGCTATGTGGGCCCTGCTCAGGGCATGCTGGTGGCTGAGACCACCAGGGCTGAGAGACAGGGCAGCGTGGCTGGCCTGGGACCTCCCCAGCACCCTGCGGTGCCCAGAACACTGCAGGGTAAGACCTAAAAACACCTGTCCCGCAGTGACCTGCTCTCCCAACTGAGGGGGGGGCTGGCCAAAGGGATCTCCCAGCCCTGCTATTGGCCAGGCTGAAAGCTGTGGATTGGTCGGCCACTGGGGGCCGGGATCTGCCTCTGGGGACAGTCAGATGGGGTCTGCTTCTGGGCACAGTGGAGTGGGGGTCTACCTCTGGGGACCCGAGCTCTGCCCCATGACTCCCGGGCTCCTCTGGCCAGTGTCCCAGCTGGTCAACCAGAAGCTTCTGCGTGCTGTGCCTGCCCCTGTGGGTGGAGTTAGGCCTTGGGGCACAGCCTGGGAGGGGACCCTCTTGGGAGCACTGTGTAACACCAGGGGGTGGGAGATAGGCCTGACCCTCACTGGGGATCCCTGTGGCCTGCAGCCCACGCCCAGCTGGGCCTCAACCCTCACCTCACATTTATGAGCATCACAGCAGCGTCCTTGGGGCCAGCCCCTAATTAGCGTGAGGAAGGACGTGGGTGGCAAGGCAGCTGCTGGCGCGGCCCACCCAGTCTCCCAGCTCCGCAGCACCCAACGCCACGAGGGGCTGGGTCAAGGCTGGCAGCTGGGCATCAGGGCTGGGCTGGACTGGGGCTGGGGTCCAGGCTGGGTGTGGCTGAGAGGTGCTGGGTGGGGTGGGGGGTGGGTTTGTGCCATGCCAAGCCTGACCCTGTCCACTTCCACTACAGGGGGCTTTGCCACCTTCTCCTCCTGCTTCCCCGGCCTCTGTGAGGGCAAGCCCGCCGCCTTGCTGCCCATGAGCCTCTCTCAGCCCTGCCTGCCCGTGCCCAGCGTGGGCCTGACCCGCATCCTGCCTCACCTCTACCTGGGCTCCCAGAAGGATGTCCTGAACAAGGTGTGTGTGGGCTGGGGGCTGAGGGCTGGCGGAGGGGAGGCACAGCTGGGCCCCAGGCCCTTGCTGATGCCCCTGGCCCGCAGGCAGGGCCTGGGGGAGTGGCCCAGCTCCTTGCCCCAGGCCACCAGTCCAGAGAGCCCACATACCAAACTGCTGAGGTCACTGGGCTGGCCTGGGTGAAAGAATCCCGGGCTTCAGAAATGGGGCGAGGAAAAGAGGGCGCAGACACCGCCTGCCACGGCCGGATTCCTGGGAGTCCAGGAGCTCGCCGCAGGCAGGGCGGCCGCGTCCAGGGTGGCGGTGACCAGAAACCACTTACACCCCGTCCTCCCACCCCAGGACCTGATGACCCAGAACGGAATAAGCTACGTCCTCAACGCCAGCAACTCCTGCCCCAAGCCCGACTTCATCTGCGAGAGCCGCTTCCTGCGCATCCCCATCAACGACAACTACTGTGAGAAGCTGCTGCCCTGGCTGGACAAGTCCATCGAGTTCATAGGTGAGGAGGCAGGATCCCCTCGGGTGGTGCTGAGGGGATGGGGCGTGGCCAGGCGCCAGTGGATGGGCGGGAGTGGGCGGGGCGATTGAGGGGCCGGTCATTCGTTGGGCGTGGTGGCGTGGGCGGGGCGCGGGTGATAAGGGCAGGGTGGGCGGGGCCATGAGGGCGGGGGCGGGGAGTTGTGGGCGGGGTGCCGACGGTGGGCAGGCCGCTGTGAGCGTGGCGAGGTTTGGGCGATGGGGGCAGGGCGGGCGGGGCCGTGCGGGCGTGGGCGGGGCGATGAAGGCAGGGCGGGGCGATGTGGGCGGGGTGCCGACGGTGGGCGGGCCGTTGTGAGCGTGGCGAGGTTTGGGCGATGGGGGCAGGGAGGGCGGGGCCGTGCGGGCGTGGGCGGGGCGATGAAGGCAGGGCGGGGCGATGTGGGCGGGGCGATGAGGGCGATGTGGGCGGGGACGAGGAGTTGTGGGCGGGGTGCCGACGGTGGGCGGGCCGCTGTGAGCGTGGCGAGGTTCGGGCGATGGGGGCAGGGCGGGCGGGGCCGTGCGGGCGTGGGCGGGGCGATGAAGGCAGGGCGGGGCGATGTGGGCGGGGCGATGTGGGCGGGGCGATGAGGGCTATGTGGGCGGGGACGAGGAGTTGTGGGCGGGGACGAGGAGTTGTGGGCGGGGTGCCGACGGTGGGCGGGCCGCTGGCTGTGAGCTAGGCGAGGTTCGGGCGATGGGGGCAGGGCGGGCGGGGCCGTGCGAGCGTGGGCGGGGCGACGAAGGCAGGGCGGGGCGATGAGGGCTATGTGGGCGGGGACGAGGAGTTGTGGGCGGGGTGCCGACGGTGGGCGGGCCGCTGTGAGCGTGGCGAGGTTCGGGCGATGGGGGCAGGGCGGGCGGGGCCGTGCGGGCGTGGGCGGGTGATGAAGGCAGGGCGGGGCGATGTGGGCGGGGCGATGAGGGCTATGTGGGCGGGGACGAGGAGTTGTGGGCGGGGTGCCGGCGGTGGGCGGGCCGCTGGCTGTGAGCTAGGCGAGGTTCGGGCGATGGGGGCAGGCGGGCGGGCGGGGCCGTGTGGGTGTGGGCGAGGCGATGAGGGCAGGGCCGGCAGGTGTGGGCGGGGCTGATGACGTGGGCGTGGTCATGCGGGCGGGGCGGGCGGGGCGGGGTGCCGGCGGTGGGCGGGCCGCTGGCTGCGAGCGAGGCGAGGCGCGGGCGGTGGGCGGGGGTGGGCGTGCGGGCGGGGCACGCGCGTGCCGGGCGCTCGGTGGAGAGGCCAGACAGACCCGGTGCGGGAGGGGGGAGGGCCAGGTGCCGAGCGGCCAGATCGGGGAGCAGCGCCAGGCGCCGGCGAGCCGCGGAGGGCGAGGACCGGGGCTGGGACGGACGGGGCGGGAGCCGCGGGCCCGCCGGGAAGGAGGGACCCCACCCGGGGGGGCGAGGGCGGGCTTGTGCAACGGCCGCCCTGCCCCCAGATAAAGCCAAGCTGTCCAGCTGCCAAGTCATCGTCCACTGTCTGGCCGGCATCTCCCGCTCCGCCACCATCGCCATCGCCTACATCATGAAGACCATGGGCATGTCTTCGGACGACGCCTACAGGTAGCCCCGGCTCCCCGGGCGCGGCGGGGCGGGCGGGGGCGGGGAGCCCGGGCCCACGCAGCCGTGCCCCCGCGCAGGTTCGTGAAGGACCGGCGCCCGTCCATCTCCCCGAACTTCAACTTCCTGGGCCAGCTGCTGGAGTACGAGCGCAGCCTGCAGCTGCTGGCGGCGCTGCAGGGCGAGGCGGCGCCCCGGCCGGGCAGCCCCGAGCCGCCGCCCCCCGGCCCCGCGGCCCCGCCGCCGGCACCTACCTCAGAGGGCGGCGCGGCGGGGGGCGCCGAGCCCCCGGGCCCCGCCGCCAGCCTGCAGCAGGGCCTGCGCGGCCTGCACCTCTCCTCCGACCGCCTCCAGGACGCCAACCGCCTCAAGCGCTCCTTCTCGCTGGACATCAAGTCGGCCTACGCGCCGAGCCGGCGGCCCGACCCCGGCGAGCCCCCGAAGCTCTGCAAGCTGGACAGCCCGTCGGGGGGCGCGCTGGGCCTGCCCTCGCCGGGCGCCGACGGCCCCGACGCCGCGGACGCGCGCCCGCGGCCCCGCCGGCGGCCCCGGCCCCCCGCCGGCTCCCCGGCGCGCTCGCCCGCGCGCTCGCCCGCGCGCTCCCCCGCGCGCTCCCCGGCCGGCGCGGCGCGCCAGACTCCGCGGCGCGCGCTGCCCGGCCCGCCCGGCTCGCCGCCGCCCGACGCGCGCTGCCGCTGCGGGCCCGACGCGCACTTCAAGCGGCGCAGCTGCCAGATGGAGTTCGAGGGCGGCCTGGCCGAGGGCCGCGCGCGCGGCGAGGAGCTGGCCGCGCTGGGCAAGCAGGCCAGCTTCTCGGGCAGCGTGGAGGTCATCGAGGTGTCCTGACGGCCCCGCGGGGCGCAGGGGCGGGGCGGGTGACGGCGGTTTTTATCGAGAAGCCAATATTTCGATTTTTTATTTATTTAAGCTGTCCTTCTGCAGTGACTGGCAGCCCCGGAGCTGTTTTTACTGTCTGGTATTTATTTAAAAACTGAAACACAGTTTCTAAGCAATACGGGCCGCCTGCAGTCTCGAGCCGGGGTCCGGGCCTGGGGTCCCCTTCTCCGCCCCCTCCCGCAGGACACTCTGACTGCCCAGCTTTCGTGCACTTTTTACATAAGAAAAAGGAAAAAAAGAAAAAAAATCCTTTGCCACAAACTGAGCCGCAGACTCTCCGCCCGCCCTCCCCCGCCCCGCCCTGCCCCTCTCTCCCCCTCTTCCCCTCCCTCCACCCCCCTCCCTCTTTCTCTGCTCCTCTCCCTTCTCCTCTGCCCCCAGCCTGGGGGGGGTCTCAGTTGGGTGCGAGCCGCAGGGCTGCACCCCAGGCCCAGGCACCAGGCCCCGGGGCAGTGGGGTCTCCTGCCTGGCCGGTTTCCAGGGATCTAGTAGAGAGCACAGGACAAAGGTGATGGGGGAAGTGTCTCCCAGTGAGGCGGGACCCCCGCTGGAGCTGGAGAGCCCTCCCTCCTGCCTGAACCCCAAGTCTAGTTTCAGGGTCACTAACTTCCCTGTGTAGATGAAGGGGGACCACCTGGGGGACCCAGAGTCCAGGTGTGTCCCCACAGGTGGGGGTGACCTGGGACTCAGGTGTATCCTGCTGGTGGGAGTGATCTGGGATCCAGGTGTGCCCTCGCAGATGCGGGTGACCCTGCAGGTGGGGGTGACCCAGAGCCCAGGTGTGTCCCCGCAAGTGGGGGTGGCCCTGCAGGTGGGGGTGACCCAGAGCCCAGGTGTGTCCCCGCAAGTGGGGGTGGCCCTGCAGGTGGGGGTGACCTAGAGCCCAGATATGTCCCCGCAAGTGGGGGTGGCCCTGCAGGTGGGGGTGATCTGGGATCCAGGTGTGTCCCGGTCAGTGGGGACGTCCCTGCAGGTGGGAATGATCCGGGACTCAGGTGTGGGTAACCTGAGTCTAGGAGGGTCCCATAGTTGGGGTCACCCAGGGCCCAGGTGTGGCCCCTCAGGTCGGGGTGTACCTACCAGGGAAGGGTGGTTACCTAGGACCCAGGTGTGTCCCAGAGGTAGGAGTGATCCTGCAGGTGAGGCCTCCCCCAGCACTGTTGAGGGTGGGGCAGATAGACCTCTGCTGGGCAGCTGGGTGGGAGGTACCCCATTTTGGCCCAGTCCCAGGGGACCCCTCTGGGGCCTCTGCACTCAAAGGTTTCCTCCCCCACATCTTCAGGGTTTTGCTCTGGTCCCTACCCAGCTGATTTTCTGGCCCTGGTGAGTGGGGGGAGGGGGAGCCACAGCCCCCCAGCCCTCTTGGTCGTGGGGCCCTCTGGGCTCCGGGGGCACCTGGCGAAAAGACAGGATGGCCCACGTTGGGGGTACAGGACTGGGTCCTGGGGAGCGTCCCTGCTGACCCCTTTGTTTTCTTCACTATACCCCTCCGTCCTGGTCCTGTCCACCCTGTTCCCAGAAGATAAGCTATCATCGTTGTATTTGCAATCTCTGGATTAGCAGTTTAAGTATTTATTATTGTTTAATTATTATTATTATTGTCGTTGTTGTTGATTATGTAAATTCGCCTTCTGTCTATCGCATTGGATTTCCGAGGTGACCCGAGTGGAGGACGCCCTGGTCCCTCGGCCGCGTCCCTGTGCTGTCCCGGAGACAGACACTGAAGGCAGGTCCCGAGCGCGTCCTTCCTTCCTGTTAACCCCTTCTCCAGAGCTGTCAGACTTAGGTGGTCCCCGGCTCCCCCAGGGAGAGCCGGGCTGGGCGGGGCTGTGCACTCCCTGGCCCCGCCCCCGTCCTGGGCTGGAGCCCCGTCCCCCAGGGACCTGCCCCTCTGTTATTTGCTGGAAAGTCCAGCGGAGGAGGGGGCAGCCCCACCCCTGACGGCTCCCGGTCTCTCTGGACTGGGCTGTCCCCCCTCACCCTGCCTCAGGACCCCTTCCCCAGTGCATCCACACCACCACCCCTGCTCCATGCCGCCCCTTCTTTTGTATTTGGAAACAATGTGTTGTAATAAATCCTGAGATGGGTGTTTTCTCCCTGCCTCTCTGCTGCCTTCTTCATGGTGGTGGGGGGAGGGGGCCTGGATCACGGCCCTGCAGCCCTGCAGTGTTGGGAGGGCAGTCCCCGTGTCCAGGGCCTTTCCTCGTCAGTGGTGAGGTTTTATTTGATTTTGCTTTATTTTGTTTGGGGCCACAGCCTCAGTGCTCAGGGAACCCAACGCAAAGACACATCCAGTCCACTGGTGAGACTTTGAATAAGGTAACAGAGAGACAGGCGCAGGGCCCCCCAGGCAGTGCTCAGGAGACCTGGAGTCTCCTGGGTGATTCTCAGCCAGGGCCACGCTGGGGGTGGTGCTCATAGGACCACGTGGTGTCGGGTGGACGCCTGGATGGACATCTGCTAGGTATAGTCTGAGCCACGGTGCTGTCTCCTGGCCCCAAAGGACTCAAAAGTCATCCACCCCACTCCCAGGGAGCATCCACAACACCCCCGAATGTGAGTGCATACGTGTGCAAGCGTGTACAGGTGTGGGAAGACCAGGCACGCAGCAGGTGAACACCTGTGTGGACCAGGTGTGCAGAGTGGACACACGTGTGCAGGTCCGTGCATGCAGGTGTGGTGTGGTCATAGCTGGAGGGAGGCGGGAGCTGACAGGCTCTGTGGGCCCGAGGAGGCGGGCTCTCCGATCCCCATCTTTCCTCCTCAAAACTGCAGAGGAGAGAATCCTGGCCTGTCCACCAGCGGGGCTATTTTTAGCTCGGGAACATCTATTTATAGCCTGGGCAGCCCCTGAGAGTCAGTGAGTCCTCGGGAAGTGGCTGCTGGCTGGAGGAGGGAGTGGGCGGGGCCAAGGGCCGGAGGGCTCTCTCAGGGCGCCCTGCAGGGGCAGGATGAGACCCCCAGAGCAGTGAGCAGGTGTTAGACCCAGGCCCCGCTCCTAAAGGTCAGCCTAGAGGTCAGCCCGTCCAAGACTGGCCAGCTGGTGCCTGAGGGGAGCTCGGGAGGCAATGTGTTGTCCCTGATAGTCCCCGAGGTCGGGTCCCTGGCCCTGGTCTCCAGGATGCTGGTCCTCGCTTGTCTTTGTCAGCTATCCAGCGCAGGGCCAAGCACCTTGGCACTAGTGTGCTTTGGGGTGTGGGTCAGGGAAGACCGTGGGCTTCTCTGCCTGTGGGTAGCTGTGCCGTCCGCAGGTGACGCCTGGAGCCCTCTGCTGGGCTGCACACCAGGAAGCTGGAGTCACAGACACTGCCCACCAGAGCTGGCATTCTTGCCACTGGGATGCCAGACGCGCTGAGCATCAGCCCTCAGGGTGGAGGAGAGGCCGGCTGCTTCCGGTCTGTGGGGTGTGGCCTGGGGCCGATGGCGAGGTACCGAGGGCTTGGGGGCTCTCTTCACTGCCAAGACACAGGAGCAAGAATTAAAGCATGCGAAAGACGTGGGCGCTCAGGGTTGACGGAAAGGTGACCAGGCCCTTCAGCAGTCACCCAGACGACCAGTGTTCAGGAGTCTTGGATGCCCAGTACGCAAATACTTCATATCAGGACCTCCTTCCACTGAACAAAGTGAATTGGCAGAATTTTAGGCTCCCTGAGTGGGAGAGAGTGAGTGTGTGAGACAGGGTGGAGAGATGGGCGGAGAGTGAGTGACAGGTGGGGGGGGTGTAGGTGGATGGATCCACGGTAAGCCAGGGAAGTGAGCAGCCTGAAGCATTGGTGAGTGATGGAGAATGAGTGGGTGGGTGGGTGTTGGAACGGAGAATGGTGGATGAATGGGGTGGATGGGTGCTAGGAGATGGCTTACAGAGGTAGTTGGGTGTTGAAGGGCAGGATGTGTGGATTGTAGAAGGGTTTTGGAGAGATGAAAGGTGTTGGAGGGAGGATGGATGGATAGACGGGTGGATGGTATTGGAAGAGAGGAAGAGAGGGATGGGTGGGAAGTGGGAGGAAGACAGGCAGGGAGGCTGAGTCACGTGGTTGTGGGTGAGTGTACAGTGCAGCCCACCTCCGGTCCCTCTGTGCATGTGGTTTCCTTTTGGATGCTAACGCGGGGACGGAGGCCAGCGGGTGGGCGTGGCAGGCACGTGCCCCTCCTCCAAGCCCCTCTGCTGTCTCCTTGTCTCCCGCCAGACAGTCGACTGCGCCCGCCCAGTAAACACACCACAGTCTGGCAGCCTCAGAGCCCCGGCTGGAGCCTTCATAGCCGAGGAGGGGAGGGAGGGGAGCCGCCTCGTGCCCCATCTCAGGAGTCAGAGAGACCTTGGGCTGCTGGGCGGAGCTGTCCTCAGAGCCCTGGAGCCCCCCTCAGCAGCCCCCAGTCGTGGCCCTGGGGAGAGGTGCAGACTGGGGGCGCAGAGCGGAAGAGGGAGGTGACTGGTCCCTGCTCCCGGGAGCACAGGCTGTTTGTTCATGTAGGGCAGGGCAAGGGGCCACCGCAGACCTAGGGGAGGACGGAGGGACAGAGAGCATGGACATGATGAGGCAGCTCTGGCAGTGGGGGCTGGGCTTGATGCTGGCCTAGGAGGGTCCCATACAGAGGTGGAGCCTCTCAGGTCCTAAAGTCACGAACTTGGGGATGTCCAGGAAGGGGTCCGGCATTGACCAGGACTAAGATAGGGACAGTCCTTGAGGTGCAGGCTCTCCTTACCCGCCTGTGTGCCCGCCTTTCTGGAGAGGGGCAGCTGCAGAGAGGAGGGGCCTGCAGGGAACTCAGCCCGACTCCTGATAACCTGGAACTTGTGTGGGAGGGTCCTGGTAGAGTGGGGGCGAGTGGGAAGTGTCCGGGAGGCGGGAGGCCGTGGACCAGGTCTGCTTGGGATGGACGGTGGCTAGGGGCTTCTGCCTCCACCGAATCCCTCCTCCTCCTCCTCCTCCTCCTCCTCCTCCTCCTCCTCCTCCTGAGTGTTGAGTGGGGCCAGCCACACGGACGCCTGCACGCTCCCAGGCTTAGGGCTCCAGGGACGCCCTGCTTTCCCCTCGGCACCTCCCGGCCGGGCTGGGTTACCTGCTCTGCGGGGCGCAGAGCTGGACGACAGACCCCCGGGGCGCCCTTCCCCTGGAGGAAACCCCCCCCCCCAGGGCGGCTGGACTGCAAGGGCGGGATTCCCACCCGGGACGGGGCGCGCCGCCCTCGCCTCGCCGCTGCGGCACCTCCCGGCTCCCGGGGAAGCGCCCCTCTGGGCGGCGACCCCCAGACCTTCCTGCCCCGCGCGCCGCCCAGCTCCACGGGCGATCCAGGGAAGGGCGGCTCACCGCGGCCGCCTTAGGGGTCCCTAGCCCGGTCCTGCGCTCGCGCCCCCGAACCCGGCCCCCGCGCCCCCTAACCCGGCTCCCTGCGCCCCGCAACCCCGCTCCCGCGCTCCCGCACCCCGCTCCGCGCGCCCTTGCGTCCTAGGCGGGCGCGGGCGCATCGCTGCGCCGGCCCCGCACGCCGAGGGCCCCCGTCTCGCCTCCGCCCGGCCGGCGCGGCTCTGCAGTGCCCCCGGCCACTGCCACTCGAGTCCGAGGCCCGCGCGCTCCAGGAGTCGGTCCCGCCCCGAGCCCGAGGCGCAGCGCAGCCCCGCGCCGCCCGGCCTCTCGCGCGCCCGCGCCGCCTGCTCTCCGTCTCCAGACCCTCGGACCAGGGAAATCGCCCGCCCGCAGAGCCGGGCACTGCGAAGCGACCCCTACCCCGCCCACAGCGCCGGCCACCTCCGGGCTCCTCCCTGACCGGGCGTGTCCCCTGCCGCGCCCGCCTCTTCCAGCAAGCCCCGGGCAGAGTCCGTCTGCATCTGCCAGGGCCTGGCCCAGGTGGCGTGCCTGAGAGCAGATGCTTCTGGAACACCCACGCCAAATCTTTAGAAGCCCCCTCGCAAAGCCGGCAATTGCGCCCCCAGTTGAGGACTGAACTGGGAGGGCTGAGGACTGGGGCCACCAACCCAGCTCTCCCCAGAACAAGCCTTCTGACTGGGGACCTGGGATGGGGGGGGGGGGGGGCGGGGAACCAGCCTGCACTGGCCTCTGAGGCTCATGGGGGCACGGAGAGTCCCAAGCAAGAGGACTGGGGCCTGAGAGGGAGCACTGCAGAGCAGGTGCCCCAGACAGACCTTCCCCCTGCTCCCCTGGCCTGGCAGGAACTCTCCAGGCAGGGTGGACCGGCTCAGAGGGTCCTCCAGAGGCAGAGGGTATAAGGGCCTGGCTCAGCTGTGGAAGGACGGTCCCTTCTCCCCCGAAGGCTCCCGGGAGGGCAACAAGGGCCCTCGGCTGGGGCCCAGCACCCAGCATGGTGCTTGAGGCTCTGCAGGCTGGGGTCCGGACTAGGTCGTGGGCGTAGAGGTGGTGTTTATGTCCAAATGTCCCCTCCACGCTCACTGTCACCGGGGCTGGACCCACAACCCCTGACTCTTATTCAGTCTGAGCCCGGGAGAGTCCTGGAGGGAGAGGAGGGAGCCAGCATCCGCTGACCATCCCTGTCTGAGCTCCCTGGCCAGCCATACAGGGGACAAGGCTGGTGGACATCCAGCAGGATTCAAGCTCCGAGTGGCTGTGACTGCTGCAGTTGTCCGACTCCCTGGAATCAGAGCGTCCAGAAATCCCCGAACCACTGCAGGCCGCCGGCTCTCACACCCTGCCATGATGTACAAAGGGTCCCCTGGGTGGGTGGCACCATCCACGAAAGAGGGATACATTGGGCACTGTGTGAGCACCTGTGGAGCAACTTATACCCTCACTCACCTCACCTATACCCTCACCACCTCACCCCTGCACTATACCTATACCCCACTGCACCTCACCCTCACCCCACACCAGCACCTTCCCTCACACCCACACCTCTACCCTCATCCCCACAGACCTATACCTTCACCCCCACACATGCACCCTCACCCCATCCCTGCTCCCACATCCCCACACCTACACTCTCACCCCACGCCTCCTCCCCCGCATCTCCTGGGCCATAGAAGTAGTTCAGGGGATGTTCAATCATGGATCCAAATCCTCCAGCCAGGAAAAGGCAGCACTGGGGATGGAGCTGCGAGCAACCGGGGCCCGTGGAGCATGAGGAAGGGGCAATGGAGGGGCTGCGGGAACTCCTCCTGCAGTGCTCAGTGAAAGCAGAGTTGCTGGACCAATGTCCCGGGAGGCAAAGTCGGCCCCAAGGTAGGGGTTGGTGTGGGGCGTGGGTGCTCCTGCGGAGGTGGAGAGGATGCTTCCTGCTGCCTGCTCCAGGAGCCCCTGGGCACCACTTGGCGTGCCTTCGGGCGCCCCTGCCACCAGGCAGCCCACAGCACCGCAGGGCCACAGCAGGAGAGCGCTGGTGGGATGGGGCAGGGGCGCTGCTCTCCCACGAGGCCGGGAGAGGCAGCCGAGCGCCCCTCTCCGCCCTGTGTCCTGCCCGGCAGACCTCTGCTCCTTCCGGGCCTGTTCCCGTTGCCCTCAGCACGCCCCTGTCCGCTCCCCTCCCGCCGCCAGCCCGGCAGGGCCCGGTGGCTTCGGGCAGAGGCGTCAGGCAGCCCGGTCTGGGCCCCAGTTTCTTTCCGTTTTATTCATTTGGGGGGACCGCACAGTCGTCCTCAGGGTTCCTCCTGGCCCTGTGCTCAGGCACCGCTCCTGAGGGGCGGGGGACCACCGGGTGCCGGAGTTTGAGCCCGGGCTGACCCTGCGCAGGGCGCGCGCCGTCCCCGCCGAACGACGGGGTACCCAGGGGCCGGGTGGCCAGGGCCCAGCGCAAACGGCGGGCGCAGGACACGTGGGTGCGCGCGGCCGGTGCGTGGGGCGGAGCCGGAGCGAGGGCGGGGGACGGAGCTGGACAGCGGGGCCGCAGGTGCGCGGGCGGCCGGCGAGCCCGGAAGCGGCGGCGCGGCCGGACTACAGTTCCCGGCGGGCCGCGCGCGCACTTCCGGCGGCGCGGGCGCGGCGAGTGTTTACTTCCGGCCGCCGGGCCGAGGCCGAGCGTGTGGGCGCGGGCGCGGGCCCCGCAGCCATGGACTGGCTCATGGGGTGAGTGGCCGCGGGCCCGGGCGGCGAGGGGCGCCTCCGCGGGCCGGGGGCGGCCCCGGGGGCGCGCGGGTCGGCGCGGGCCGGCGCGGGCCGGGCGGGGGCGGCCGCTCGCGCCCGCGCCGCGGGAGCCGGTTCTGGAGCCCGGCGGGACCCGGGCGCGGGCGGCTCGGAGGGACCGGGCGGGGGCGCGGGGCACTCGGGGACGCGGGGTCCTGGGGGGCGCGGGGCACTCGGGGACGCGGGGTCCTGGGGGGCGCGGGGCACTCGGGGACGCGGGGTCCTGGGGGGCGCGGGGCACTCGGGGACGCGGGGTCCTGGGGGGCGCGGGGCACTCGGAGACGTGGGGTCCCGGGGTCCAGGGGGCGCGGGGACCGGGGGGCGCGGGGGCCAGGGGGCGCGGCGCACTCGGAGACGCGGGGTCCTGGGGGCCAGGGGACACGGGGACCTGGGGGCGCGGGGCAGTCGGAGACGCGGGGTCCTGGGGGGCGCGGGAACCCGGGGGCGCGGGACACTCGGAGACGCGGGGTCCCGGGGGGCGCGGGGCAGTCGGAGACGCGGGGTCCTGGGGGCCAGGGGACACGGGGACCCGGGGGCGCGGGGCACTTGGAGACGCGGGGTCCCGGGGGGCGCGGGGCAGTCGGAGACGCGGAGTCCCGGGGCCCGGGGGGCGCGGGGACCCGGGGGCGCGGGGCAGTCGGAGACGCGGGGTCCTGGGGGCCAGGGGACAGGGGGACCCGGGGGCGCGGGGCACTCGGAGACGCGGGGTCCCGGGGGGCGCGGGGCAGTCGGAGACGCGGGATCCCCAGGACCCGGGGTGGGGCGCGGGGACCCGGGGGCGCGGGGCACTTGGAGACGCGGGGGCCAGGGGGCACGAGGACCGGGGGGCGCGGGCACTCTGAGACGGGGGCGCGGAGAGCCGGACACTCGGGCGCGGGCGCGGGGACCGGGGCGCGGGGTGGGGCCCTCCCGGCCGCTTCCTGTCGCCTCTCGGAATTGGACCGGCGGCCGCCGCCTCCTGACAGTTGTCCCGGCCCGCCTGGCCCGGGCGGTGCCGCTGCGGCTGCGCGGCCCGGGCCTTGAGTGGCACCGCCGGGGTCAGCTCTTGCCCTGGCCGTGGCCGGGTGGAGCCTGGACAGGCCGGAGGGAGGAGAGGCGGGGCGGGAGGGGCGCCCCGGCGAGCGCGGGCCTCGGGGGGCTCCTGGCCGGGCTCTGCTGACCCTGACCGGGCTGCTCGGTGACGGCACCTGGCCCGGCCCAGGGAGGGAGGGTGCTCTGCGGGTGTGCAGGGGTGTGCGGGGCTGTGAGTGTGCGAGTCTGCGGTTGTGCAGGGCTGTGGGTGTGCGGGCTTGTGAGACCTGGGGTGTGAGACTGCGGGTGTGCGGACTGGGGTGCATGGGGCCGCGGGTGTACCTGACGGCGCTTGTGCATGGCTGCGGGTGTGTGAGGCCTGGGGGGTGAGGGGCAGGTGAGTGGGACTGTGAGTGTGAAGCCCGGGGTGCTCGCTGTCTTTCGGACCACTCAAGGCTCCTGAGTTCTTAGGGGATCCTGAGCTCTGTGACTGTGGCTGTCACCCCCAGACTCGTCTGGATCCACTTGCAGGAGGCTTGAGTTGGTGGGCTCGTGGGCTCCCCTCCCCTGCCTCGCGGTGGGAGACGGGAAGCAGCAGGTAGCTGTGGCGTCAGGGGCGAGGGCTGGGCGCAGAGACCCCCAGAACGGGACCGGCCGGCCCGCCCTGCACCTCCCTGCCGCCTCAGGCCGCCTGATCCTTTTCTTGGGTTTCACCCCGTGAGCGTGAGCGGAGGAACTGTTTTCTTGCTAATCCCCAGCGCTCAGTGTCAGCCTGGCTGTGCGGGATCTGGTTCTGGGCTGTCGCTGCTCCGTCTCAGGTGACCTGGAGGGAGCTGGCAGCCCCGCCTGCCTTCGGGGCCCTGAGCCGGCCGCCCCCTGGAAAGCCTGGCTGGCTGCTGAGTAACGCTCGCCTTATCTCAGCCCGGTTCCGGCGCGGCTGGCGCGAGTGGGGACTTGCTTGTGGGTGCTGAGACGCCCGCACCCTGCCGGGTGCTCCGGAACCTTCCCTCTGCTTGGCACGGTGCTTGCTGTTGGAGGAGGTGGTGGCTGGTCTGTCTGTCCACAGGGAGCGCGTCCTGGCTGAGGATGGTGCCGTCTGCCCTTCCGTGCCCGGCTGAGCTCCCCTGCGGGAGGAGGTGGGCAGGCGGTGCCGTAGGGTAGGGCATGAACGCCCAAAGAGCAGTTCCTAGGAAGTCAGGAGCACCCGCCCTTCCCTCCCTGCCGGGGAGCGTTCCGGCAACCCCCACCTGGGGCAGGAGGGAGCCCTCACCCGAGGCCTTCAGCCCCCCCCCCCATGGAGGCATGTAAAACGCACTTGTGACTTACACAGTAGACCTCCGCCGAGGGTCAGAGAGATTCTTTTTATTGTTAAGATTTTCAGTCCTGTGACCCCATCTGGGATCGACACCCCAGTTTGAGAGGCAGAAGAGACGGCACAGGGGCCGGCCAGGTTCCTTGTCCTGGAGCCCCCAGGGCACCCACACACCCAAGGGACCCCGAGCGCAGCTCTGGCCGCAGCAGGAGAGTGGAGTGCGGCTGGGCGGCTGCCCTGTCCGAGCTCGTCTCTGCGGGCTCGGGCCGCCCTGCGCTATTTTCCCTGTGCCTTGCCTCCCGGCAGGGAGTCAGTGCCGGTGGCCAAGGCGGAGTCTGGCTGTGAGGTCAGCAGGCTGAGCGTGCTGGTGACTGCAGCGTCCTCCAGGTGTAATTTACGTGCCACCGTGCTGACTTGCTTCCCGCGGGGTCCGAGTGTCGAGCCACCAGCAGCAGTGGAACGCCAAGCTTTGCCGTCAGCCCAGAGGCTACTCTGCTGCTGTCTCTCCACCCAGGGCCTGTCCAGGGGGTCTCTCAGGGCTGGGCCAGTGGGGGCTCTGTGGCCTCTTACCGGGAAGGACCTTCTGTCTGCAGGCAGACCCCACAGCCGTGGGGACGGACCTGGCCCTGGGCCTCCAGCTGTGGCCCTCGCTTGTGCCCCTGCTGGAGCCCGTGTCCTCGGGGATGCTGGAGCTGCCCGGCCTGTCCACGTGCTTCTCAGCTGAGCCGGGACCCAGGGGACCTTTGTCTCGGGCTCCATACCCGGAGCAGCCTTGGGGAACTGCGAGGGAGGGTCTGGCCGGCTGCTCTCTGCCCAGTGCACCGTCATACTGGTGGCGGCTGGAGCTGGGGACGTCCCCAGCTGGCTGTGGGCTTGCGTGACTCGGTCCTCGGCTGCCCCCTGAGGAAGGCCGGGAGGAAAGGAGGGTGCGGCCCTGGAGGGGCGCCAAGACGCTTTCCACCGATTCCTCCAGGGATGTGCCCGGAGCAGGAAGTGGAACAATGAGACCGAGAATAAACGGGAGAGAGGAAGGAGGCAGTGGGCGGGGGGTGGGCAGGTGCCTTCCCACGTCAGGGTCCCTGACGTGCCACGCCCGCAGAGGGTGTCTCCGTGTCAGGGGGCCTGCGTGTGCGGGTTCTGACGTGGCGCAGGGCCGAGACAGGGCGGGCCGCCTCTGTCTGTCCCCACCATGTGTGCCCCTGTGCCGCGCTGCCCCCCCAGGAAGCTCAGCTGTCTGCCAGCCCCTCTGCTGCCCACAGCCCACCTGGTGGTCCAGAATCTCCTTGAGGGTGGTGGCCTGTACTGTCCGTGGAGCTGAGGCTGTCGGTGGTTGGGACCCTGCCAGCCATGGGGACAGGGCTTGTGCCTGCTGCCTCCCTGCCCAGCCCAGCTCCCTACCCGGGGGTCCTCCAGGTGTGTCCTCCCCCATCCTGTCCCTACCCCATCTGACGCGGCCTGGGGGGTCGCCGAGGACACTGCCGGAGGGATCGGACACTGGAGATTTCCGTGGGCCTGGGGCCGACGGGGCAGAGCAGGGGATCCCAGCCTGGAGGGCTTGTGTCGGAACAGCCCGAGGTGGTGCTTGCACATGGACCCTCTGAGGGGCCAGTCGGGTTCTTCCCTGCCCCCCCCCACCTGCTCCTGTCTGAGCACGGGGCCAGGAGGTGGCTCCAGCCCTGCCGAGGGCCAGCCCAGGGCCGCTTCTCACCCGCTCTGGCCCGGGGAGGGCCGTGCCCGCAGCGAGCGAGCCTGCGAGTGGGAGGCGGCCCACCGCCAGCCAGTCAGAGCTGCTGCTCCCCGGCCTCAGGTCGCTGGGTGTGCGCCCACGCGGCCACACATGGCATGCACTTGGTCACACGGATTCATCCCAGGCACGCGCGGGCATGTACACGGGCACACACGGAGACTCGTTTCAGGGCCCGGTGCAGGTCAGGGCTGGACGCGGGGCCCCGCCTGGCTGCCGGGGGCTGCGGTCACGAGGCCCTGCCCGGCCCCTGCAGCTTCCGGCCAGTGTGGCAGGAAGCAGGGCCCAGACTCAGCCGTGTGGTGCCGAGTGACTCGCTTCCCGCGTCCCCAGGCCTGGGGGCAGGTCTCACCTGGGAGGGGCCTTCCGGGTAGTGGCTCCCTGACTGCACCCCACTTTCTTTGTGCCGGGAGAGAGGCGGCAATGCCGGCTTGGGTGGGGTGGCAGGCCTGTCCCGAGGCCCCTTTGGTGTCCGTCTCTCCAGAGCCTCAGGCAGCCCCGGGGATGGCCAGTGGCCAGAGTGGGGCCTTGCGCTGTGGTCACGTGGGGTCCCGGGTCTGGCCCCCCCAGGCCTCGTGAGCTGCCCCTGGGAACTGGCGTGGCTCCCGCCTGCCCTCCCCTCCCAGGCGTGGCCTCTGCCATTTCCCATTCCGACTCTCACTGGCTGTCTTGGCCCTGCCCTGGGCTGTGCCCGCCTCCTGCAGTGAGGAGGGCGGGGCCCTGGGCTTGGTGCCTGCCTGCCTGGGCAGGGGCTGGAAGGGGCCGCGGGGCGTGGCACCTCACAGAGCGCCCGTGGGCAGGCACAGTGGGCTGCGGGGGGCCAGGCGGCCTCGCTGCGCTCGCCTGCCCCATGCGCCCTTCCAGGGTCTGTCCTGGACAGGCCTGCGGGCAGCTGGGTGGAGCTGAGACCTGCGCGTCAGGGCCTGTGTGTACGTGAGCCGTGTCTCTGTACACACCTGTGCATCTCTCCATGTGTGTATGTGCCTGAAAGCTTGCCTCTGTGTCTGTACCTGTCAGGGTTTCTGCATCTGTGGGCACGTCTGTTCACGTGTCTTGAGTGTGTGCGTGTCTGCGTACGTGCGTGTGCATGTGTGTCTGCAGTCATGTCTCTGTATGCCCCCTGTCTCTATACACATCTGTATGATTACGTGTCTGCGTGCATACACACCGACACGTGTCTGCCTGCACATCCGTGTGTGCATGTGTGTGCATCTCTCTATGACTGCACGTATCTGCATGTGTACGCATCTATGCGTCTGTACATGTCTGAACATGTGTGCACATCTGTGCATGTATCTGTACATGACTGTGCACATGTGCAGAGGGCCTCCCATACCAGTGACAGTCCCTCAGCCCAGCCTGCTCCCCACAGGGTGGGGGCTTCAGTCCACAGACTGCCCCTTCCCGAGCCCCCAGCTCCCAGCCCCCAGCCAGGTTGTCACCTGGGCTTCTGGATGACCCGCGAGACACTGGTTTTCACATCTGCCTCGTTGATTCATTCCAGAGTCACACGTATCTGACCATCCAGCCAAGCCTCCATCTGGGCCCGTTGCACCCACTCTGGGCCCCTACTCAGCCCCTCCTGTGCCAGTCATCCCTCCTGGCCCCGTCACCCCTCCTGGGCCCCCAGTCAGTCCTCCTGGGCCTGTCACCCCTCCTGGCACCCCACCCCGTGTTGGTGAGCTTCCCTTAGTATTTCTGTGACAGGAAGTCTGAGGGCCGTGTGCAGCTCTGTGTGAGGACCGGTGTGAAGACTCGCCCCACCCACCACTCTCGGCCTGTCTGGCCCTCCTGGTGGACGCCAGTGTCCAGCACTGCTACCTGAGTGTACTGGACTCTCCTCTGGATTCTGCCCTACAGCTTCTGCCTTAGACCCTGGCCTGCTCGTGGTGCTGATTCCATGTGTGTCCACGCCCACTTTGCTGCTGCCCTGTGGCTCTTCTCGGGACTCTGGACAGTGGTCAGAGTGAGCTGGCGCCTCGGAGCTGCCCTGGTCTGCACCCTGGGTCGGGGGAGCCGGTGCTAGCTGGGGGCTCTGGGGATGCTGCCCTGAGTGTCAGCACTGCAGCCTGGCGAGGGTGGCCACGGCGGGCGCCCTCCCGCACGGCTCCGTGGGGCCGACCCCCTTTATCTGGGCCTGGCCGCTCCACGCTTCCCGGGAGAAGTCTTGTGTATCTCTCCTTCGGTCCGTTGCTGACCTTGAAACATCTGTCGTGGCTGAAGGCACAGGGGCCACGGCGTGCTGGTCGCTGCCTGCAGCATCCGGACCTGTGCCCTGTGGTGTGTGGGGAGGGCAGGGGCACCTTGCCCTTGTCCTCAGTGGACGCTGGTGAGCTCCCGGCTTGGGGCACTCTGCAGTGGGATGCGGCTGATCTCACCCTGCGTCCGATCAAGGACGTTTTCCTCCAGAGGTTTCCGAAACGTGGCGGCTCCTGTTCTGGGACCTGCCTCCTGGGACCAGGCCGGGCTGCGGGCCGCAGGGTTTGCTGGGCCACAGGGTTGGGAGAGTCGGTTTGTGTTGGGGTTTTTGTGGTGCCTGGGGTTCAGAGCCCCTCAGCCTGCCAGGCCCGAGGATGTGGGGGGTCAGGCCCCTGGGGCTTCAGGAACCGCACGGTGCCAGGCCAGGACTTGGGGCTGTCTTCCTCACATGTGCCCTCACGCTCCCTCACGTGGAGCCGGGCTGTGCTTTGCTCAGGTCCTGCCACCCACACCTGCTCTGCCCCAGGAGGGGCTCTGTCCTTAGTTCAGATTTTCTTTTCTTGAGGTTGCTTTGGTCCTTGTGTTGGTGAAGCCTTGTGGAGCCCGGGTTCTGCGGTGGGGGGCGGGCACAGAGGGGGTGGACCTGGGGGTGGACACGGGGTGGCCACAGCGGGGCTGGGCCTGGGCATGGACGTGAATGGGCACAGCAGGGGAGGGGGGGTGGGCCCGGCTTTCTGTGCACGCCACACCGCCTCCCTGGCCTTTGCGCTGGGTCACTCGTGTCACCTCCTCCTGGCCCTGGTGGCGCGGGGTTCGTGCCGCAGAGAGCGAGCAGTGGGCAGTCAGGCTGGGAGTGCTCTCCCCGGACGGTCTGTGCTGTGGCCAGCCGCTCCTTCCTCCTTGCCTGCGGCTGGCGCCCGCCAGGGGCCCTGACAGGGGAGCTGGACTCGGACTCGCAGGTGGGGTTGCTGTTGGGACCCACTCTTGGCTCTGGGAGTTGAGCTCACTCCACTGGACCCTCCCTGGCCCTGCCCTGCCCTGCGCTGCTGTGCAAGGGGTCACAGCCGCGGCTCCGGGTGTCTGTTCTGTGCCGGAGGCGGGGCGGGGCGGCAGGGACTCGGAGCTGCAGGTTCTGTGCGCCTGCTTCCACCTCGTGCCTCTGATCTCCCTGGGACTTCAGGCTCCACCACGTGCGCCTGCCTTCCCACTGTGTCTTCCTGCCTTCCCACTGTGTGCGCCTGCCCTCCTGCGCGTGCCTCTATCTCCCCGCTACACCTGTCTGCCCTCCTGCATTCCAGTGTGCTCCTGCGCCTGTTTGTGCGCGTGTGTGTGTGTTTATGTGTCCATGTGGTGGACAGGCCCATCCGGGCCCTGGGCCCCTCCTCCTCCTGCCCCTCTGTGGTGCCACCAGGCCAGTGTCCTCGCCAGGTGCAGCTTGGGGCATTCTGGAAGATGCCTGCAGAGGGGAGCCCCGGTGTGGGGGCAGCCCTGGTGATGCCTCTCCAGCCTTCCCCCGGCTTGGCACCCAGCCAGTCAGCCCCCGTGCCAGGCACGTGGGAGGGGCTGGCCAGAGATGGGGGCTGGGGCGCCGGGGCGGTCCTGCGGAGCCAGGGCTGTGGGGGCTGTGGGCTCAGGGACCCTGTGGCAGGCACGGGTTTGTAGACAGGGTGGCCTGGGTGGTGGAGTGCAGGCCCTCGGCTCCCGGCAGACCCCGGGGTCTGTCCAGTCTCCCCCAGGCCCCCCTTCTCGGCCCGCTCTGGCTCCCAGCACGCTGCCACCCGCCTGGCATTGGGCACGCAGCCGTGCCCGAGTGGAGTGTGGCGCCTTTTAAGGCAAAGCTGTGCGGAGCGAGCCAGAGGGAATGTCCCGGCACTGCAGAGCTGTTTCCTTTCTTCTCTCGAGTAAACCATGAGAACTTTCTAGGCAGGAAGAGCAAAGGAGCTGTGGTGGGGCGCAGGGACTGTTCCCCCAAGCCCAAGGGCAGGCTGACACCTTCCTGCCGAGAGTGGGCGGCAGTCCTTCGCCTCTGCCCCTCCCTGCTGTGGCCTGGGGACCTCCAGGCTGCTCCTGTCTGCGGGCATGTCCCCAGGTCTGCTCTGGGCTCTGCCTGCAGGAGGCGCCACCAGGTGACCCGTCCCACGTGGGGGACTGTGAGCGTTCCCTGGAAGAGGCATCACCCGCAGGGATCCAGAGCTACCGGAGAACAGCAGGCCGGGACCTGGTGGTGATGGGCTGGGGGTCCCCTTGCCCCCTCGGCGTCCAGAAGCCCCTCTTTCATCTGTGACCCCCACGTGTCTTCCAGGAAGTCCAAAGCCAAGCCCAACGGGAAGAAGCCTGCAGCCGAGGAGAAGAAAGTGTACCTGGAGCCCGAGTACACCAAGGCCAGGGTCACCGACTTCGCCTTCAAGGAGCTGGTGGTGCTGCCCCGCGAGATCGACCTCAACGAGTGGCTGGCGAGCAATAGTGCGTGTGTGGGCGGCCCCCCGGGGTGCCTTGTGCGTCTGCGTGTGTGTGTGTGCGTGTACGTGTGTGTTGCACCTATGTGCATGTGTGCGCTCCTGTGCATGCATGTATGTACGCTAGTGCACACGTGTGTTCATGTGTGCATGTATGTGTTCGTGTGTGTGCTTGTGTGTGCTCATGTGCGCATGTGTGTGCGTGTGTGCATGAATGTGCCTGCTCGTGTGTATATATGCTTATGTGCATGTGTGCTTACGTGCATGCTTTTGTATGTACGTGTGCTCATGGGCAAGTATGCACTTGTGTGTGCGCGTGTGCTCATGTGTGCATGTTCGTGTGCTTGTGTGTGCATATCTGTGTGGTCATGCTTAGGTGTGTACCTACTGGTGTATGTCATGTGTTCGTGTGCACGTATGAGTGCGTACCCACATGCATGTATGTGTGCAGGGCAAGGCCTTCCCCTCCCTCCCCACCGCCCCGTGGCTCAGCCCCAGGGTCCCAGATGAAACTGTGCGCCTGCCTGGGGATTCTCCGTGGGCGTTGGTCCTTCCCAGAGGCCTGGGACCCCCTGTCCTGGCTCCACGTCCTGAGGGAGCACAGCTGGGCGTCATCCCCCCCAGGCCCATGCAGGGCCGGCGCCCAGCCCTTTGTGGCCTGTGCCTGCTCTGTGCAAGGGGACCGGGCACGGAACGGACTGCAGGTCCTCATGCCCCTTTTCCCACAGCGACAACGTTCTTCCACCACGTGAACCTTCAGTATAGCACCATCTCCGAGTTCTGCACCGGGGAGGCCTGCCAGACCATGGCCGTGTGCAACACGTGAGTGGGGGTGGTCGGGTGGCCTCCCCTCTCCTCCTCCCCCTCCTGGTGCTGACTCAGTGAGCAGGGTCCCCAGCCCCCATGTAGCCACAGTGGCAGGGCCGGGGCTTCTCGCGCCAGTGTGCTGGGAAAGCTCCCTTGGGAGTGAGACTGCGCTGGAGGCCGGCGTGCGGGAGGGGCGGGTGTGTAGGAAGGCACAGCTGCAGGACGGCATGGAGACCATGTCCACTCCACTGGTGACCAGAGGGGGGAGGCGGCATGCAGGAAGTCCCATGTGACCAAGTGGGAGTGCCCGGCCCTGGGGCGGGTGGGGACAGGCCGCGTGCTGGCTGGCGCAGAGTGCCAGGCTGGGCTGTCCGAAGTGCCCCGTGGTGCCTGGAGTCGGGCAGCCCCCACCGTGAGCTCCGAGCCGCCGGGAGACACGCGGAGGCCGCGAGAGCATGGGGCCGGTCTGAGGAGGGGCAGGCCTGCTGGGGCGAGGACCGCGTGCAGAGCCGGTGTCAGCAGCATCAGCCGCTGCACCCTACGCACGGCCCTGCCCTCGCCCTGCGAGAGGACCGGTGTCACGGCCCTCTGGGCAGTGCAGGGGCTGCTGACGTCTGAGCCGCCTGACGTGGGCCCCACGCGATGAGGCTGCTCCAAGCCTCAGCAGGATGTGAGCGTGTCTTGGCGAAGACGGCAGAGCTCCGGCGAGGAACGGAAGCTGCCGTCCTCAGGAGCTAGAACAGCACTGACCCTCCTGGAGTCGAAGGACGTTAGAGGGCTGCGCCCTTGGGATCGACTTCTCAGAGGGCAAGGCCAGTCCCCAAACCCAGCCTGTCAGGGAGTTTCCTGAGGGGTGAACCCTGGGTGAGGCCGGCCCGCACACAGAGGGGTGTGAGGAGGAGGAAGGGGTGCAGGGGAGAGCAGCAAGGAGGGGTGTCGGGAGGGGAGGGGCAGTGGGGGCTTCAGGGAGCGGGATAGTAGGGATGTAGGGACGGGAGAGGCAGGGACAAATGTAGGGAGGGGAGGAGCAGAGGAGGACCCGGAGGGGAAGTTCCGGGAAGGAATAGCAGGGAGGGGTGTGGGGAGGAGAGCAGGGCAGGGAGGGAAGGTTCAGGGCCGTGAATAAGGTGGAGGGAGGGGAGGGGTGGAGGGAGGGGAAGTTCCGGGAAAGAAATAGCAGTGAGGGGTGTGGGGAGGAGAGCAGGGCAGGGAGTGGAGGTTCTGGGTGCAGGAATAGCTTAGGAGCCCCTGGGGGGTGGGGGGGGAGACAGACCCTGAAGTGCCGCAGACAGGACGCATAGAATAGGGAGTCCGCCCTCTTAAAGGCTGGAGGAAAGGGTCCCTGGGACCGCCTGGGCTTGTGGTCCAGCTGAAGAGAGGAAGGAGTCCTTGGCCCCCCAGATATTGCGGTCAGCCTGGGCTGGCCGTGGCGGACGGCAGCACGGAGTGCCCTGTGTGACCGTCCCAGCGCTGCCCCGGGCCAGTGTGGCCCTGGCAGGGCACTGAACGCTGAGGAGGCACTGTCTGGGGCAAACTCTCCCAGTGTTCTCTCCAGCCACAGGCTGGCACCTCTGGCCTGCCAGGGCCCCGTGGGTGTCACTCGTGGTCACGGCTCATTTCTACCTGGCTGTCACTCGTGGCCCAGCAGTGCAGCTGGGGCCTGTCCTGCCTCGAGTGAGCCAGAGCCGGGTGTCCTAGGCCTGACAGCCGCAGGCTGAGGTGCCCACTGGCGGCCACTTCAGCCTTGCCGAGAAACAGGCCCATTGCCCACTCAGGAGAAAGCCTTGTCCAGTGGAGCAGACCCAGCTGAGAGCAGGGCGCTGAGTCCAGGAGGCCGCAGCCCTAGCCTGTTCCCGGGTGGGGCTGGACCCCAAGGAATCCGGAGCACGTCCTGGCCGGTGTCCCCACCCCACAGGACCAGCTGGTGCTGCTGGGAGCTTCTGTGTCTCTGCTGGTCCTGGGCAGCTTGGAGCTCCCATGGGCTTCCCTGGAGGGTGGCCTGGGGGCGGCTGGGCCTGTCTCCCTCCTGGTGCCCCAGGGTGGTCCCATGCAGGCAGCTCAGGGCTCAGTGGTCTCGCCTCGGTTGGGGCTGGGCTGGCCAGGGAACAGGTGGGCCCACCGTCCTGACAGCACGTGGGGCCAGGGAAGGGGTCCCTGAGGGCTGCCCCTGGGTACCTCCCCCACGGGTCCAGGCTGAGTGCCTGGTGAGGGTGGAGGCCCGGGAGCCGCATGTCTGGGCAGGGCCGGTCCCCAGGAGGTAAGGACCGGGGGACTTGGCCTTGTGTGTTCTGGGGGTCAGGGGTCATGGGGACATAGATGCATGCACAGCTGGTGTGCCCGAGCCGGCCCATCTCCCCTGCCCCCCGCGGGGGGCTGGACCCAGGGACTGGCCAGGGCCGCACTGTTGGTTGAGGACTTCCTGCCAGGCCTGGGCCTTGTCCCCGCTGGGCCTGGGGTGACAGCCTGTGCCCACAGGCAGTACCACTGGTACGACGAGCGGGGCCGGAAGGTGAAGTGCACAGCGCCCCAGTACGTGGACTTCGTCATGAGCTCCGTGCAGAAGCTGGTCACCGACGAGGACGTGTTCCCCACCAAGTACGGTAGGTGAGCGCAGGGTCGGGGCGAGGCCGGGGAGGGGCGCCCCAGTGACACGCCTGCCCCCCAGGGCGGGAGTTCCCCAGCTCCTTCGAGTCGCTGGTGAGGCGGATCTGCAGGTACCTGTTCCACGTGCTGGCCCACATCTACTCGGCCCACTTCAAGGAGACGCTGGCCCTGGAGCTGCACGCCCACCTCAACACGCTCTACGTGCACTTCATCCTCTTCGCCCGCGAGTTCAACCTGCTCGACCCCAAAGAGACCGCGGTCATGGACGACCTCACGGAGGTGCTGTGCAGCGGGGCCGGCGGGGAGGGGGCCGGCGCGGGCGCAGGGGCACAGAACCACGTGAAGGAGAGGTGAGCCCCGGCCCCGGCGCGCGTGTGCAGAGACGGTGACGGGGCTGCGTGTGCGCACACGCGCGGGGCGTGCTCGGCAGGAGGCCTGCGAGGGGACGCCGGCTGCGCTGACGGCCCCGGTGTGCGGGCAGCCGTGGGGCCCAGCTGCCAGGCGCGGGCTCTCCCCGCTCTCGGGGCTCATCGGAGGACGCGCCCGGCCCCGGGTGCTGGCTTCGCGGTCTGCTTGGACGCTTCCAGGCATCCCTCCCTCCCCCAGCCGCGCCTGGATCTGACTCTCGGCGGCCAGGGCCTGCCGCCCTGGTCTCTCCTCCGGACCCTGTTCCCCAGGAGGCCTCTGTCCAGAACGTGTGGGGCCCAGGGCCTCGCGTGGAGCCAGTGGCCGGGAGGGCGGGCGGCACGCTTGCTCCACTCACCTGCTTGGTGGGAATAAAAAGAATCCTGTCAGGTCAGTGCCTGTGTGTGCGTCTTGGGGACTTGCGGGGCCCCATCCCTGGGCCCAGCAGGCAGCGGACACTCGCTGGAGGGAGACCCAAGAAGCTGGCCCTTGGGGCCCAGGTACGCAGGACCCCCAGCCCCTCCGCACCGACCCTGTCTTCCCGCTCTGCAGGGGGCGCTGGGGGCCAGAACCGGGGCCGGGGAGGGGCTGTTCCCCGGAGCTGCAGTGACCTCGGGCCGCAGGGAGTGTCTGCTCTTCACATAGCCGGCGGTGCAAGGCAGGGCCAGGATATCTGACTTCCTCGGGGTCCTGGCCTACTCGTGCCCCCGGCGTGTGGTTCCACCACACAGACTGGCCCAAAGCACAGTACAGAGGGCTGCCCAGGGGCCTCGTCACCGTCAGGTCACAGCTTTGAGGGGCCCAAGGCTGTGTCTGGTTGCTGTGGGTCACGGCCCCGAGGGTTGTGATCAGGGCCCTGGGGCATCGGTCACTGTGGGTCATAGCCCCAAGGGTGTGTGTGGTCACTGTGGGTCATGGCCCCGAGGGCTGTGATCTGGGCCCTGGGGCATTGGTCACTGGTATGGACTGTGCATGTATCAGGGGACTCGGTGAAGGGGTCTTAGAGGATCCTTCATGATGGTCCCTGCTCTCAGGTCCTTATGGGAGTGATGTGGGGACAGTGCTCACATCTGATAACGGCTGGTACTGTGACTGCAGAAGGGTTGAACGGGTCCCCCCTTGCTGACCTCACAGCTCTGGAGTCAGGGCTGAGGGATGGACTCAGCAGGCAGGGAGTGCCAGCCTTGCCCCTGCGCCCCTCTGCTGCCCCCCGGAATGGGCAGGGTCCCGTGGCCTGAGGGACAGGGCCTGGGCCACGCGCAGCCACCACACCACCGCCCACAATCCAGTGCACACTTGGGGCCCTGTGTGGGCTGGGGGGACGAGGGGTCCTGACACCCTGCGCCCTCCGTCTCCCTTCCAGCCCTGCGCTGTTACTCCTCTCCAGAGACCGACACCAGGCACAAGCTGGTCACAGCTGGTCAGGCATGAGCCTGGCAGGGAGTGTCAGGCACCCCCAGCCCCCGCTGGCATCCGAACTGCCCGCCTCTGTGGGAGGCAGCCCCCTGCGCCCGCTTCAGGGCACGGCAGGGTGGGTGGGGCCCGTCCCCCTGGGAGGTCGCGTGGTAGCTGCCGGCGGGCTGCGGAGCGGGCATTCCCCGCCCCGCCCCCTCCCCCCCAGACTGCGTCCGAGTCTTCACTGAAGGAGTTTATTGTTCCGGAACTAAGGTTGCTCACAGTTACTGGAAGGGGGTACACGGGGCGGGAGTGTCCAGTTCTGACGTCTGCGTGTGTCCGGAGGACGGAAGTGGAGCGCTAACGAGAGGTATTGCTTTGGGGCCCCTCCGTGGAGGAGCCTCTTCCCGTGGCCTGCGCCCGCGGTCCGGGGGCCGAGTGTCGGAGGTCGGAGGTGGATGGAGCCGAAGCGGCGGCCCGCGCTGGGCGCCGCGGAGGCATGCAGCGGTTGGGTGGCGGCGGCAGCTCACGCTCATCGTCCTTTGCTTTGCTGTCTTCGTTTTTCTTTTTTTTTTCCTTTTTTCATTTTCATAAAAAACCCCCGCGGTGCTGCCATCGGCTGTGGCCTGTGTGGGTGGGGCCACTCGGGCCTTCGTCCTGCCCCTTGCTGCGGGCAGGCAGCCCGGGCCTGGACAGGGGCCAGAGCGTGCCCGGCCCGGGGCAGAGGGCTGCGGGCTCTGAATATAGAGATCTATTTATATGTGTGTAGAAAGAACCAAGAGCAAGAAACGGAAACAAGTCTCCCGCCCTCGCCACTCCCCACCCATCCCAAAAACAACCGAGAAAAAAGTTTATAAAAATATCTTGCAGGAATTCTTTAAAGTTTACAGTAGCGTTTCGGCGCCGCCCCCCCGCCAGCCCCCCCGCCGCCCCCCGCAGCTCTGTCCAGGAGCACCTCAGCCCGAGACAGGACGGATGGACGGATGGAAGAGGACAGCGCTGCCCTTCCCTGAACAGAGAAGTGAAGAACCTCGATAAGTTAAAACAGCGAATAAATAACACTGATCTCGGCCAGCCGGGGGGGTGGGCGCTGGGTCTCCAGGTCTGTGTCCGCTGCGGCCAGGCCTGGGCACTGAGAACCCCAACAAATGGTGATAGGATGCAGACTTGGGGTGCGGTGGTGGTTGGGCGCAAGTGCTGTGGACGGGGCCCCAGCGAAATCTGTGGGCGGCCGCTTCCGGGCCACGGCCCTGTTGTGGGCAGGCAGCACGGAAGTCGGGCGGGCTGCCTGGAGGAGGTGTCTCCTCTAGCTGGGAGCTCCCTGTGGCCATGCGTGCTGAGACTGGGCGCAGCTGCCCACTGGCAGCTGGACGCAGGCGGGCAGGCCTCGCTGCCACGGGCAGCAGCAGCAGGGGTCCATGGCAGCTGCCTTCGGTCAGCTGGTGTCCGGCGCGGAGCACAGAGGCTGGCCTCGTGGAGTGGCATGTTAGCTTTTCGGGGCAGTTCCTGGTATCAGAGCGGAAACAGTGAGTTCGTCAGACAGGCAGAGACAGACAGCGAGAGAAAGCGCGGCCCCCTTTCCTTCTCCCCGCTTCACGTCTCGGGCAGACGCACAGCCCAGTCCACGCAGGGCGGCGCCGGGGGCTGAGCTGGGGGGCTACACGTCTAAGGCTGCTCGCGGCGGGCGGCGGGCGGCCCCGTCCTAGCTGTGTCCGTGCCCGTTGGGTACTCGGCGTCCCCTCCAGGGCCAGGGCCAGCGGCCGCGGAGTCGCCGAGCTGGCCATGGGCACTCCGCTTGGTGGGGGTGCTGGGGGCCTGGGCCGCCTGCCCGTTCTTCTCGTCTGAAAAAAGTTGTTTAATTACGTCAAAGAAGTTACCCAATGGGCTGCCTAGGCACACAGAACAGAAGACAAAAGAAATAAAAAAAAGGGGGAGAGAGGAAGGGAGGGAGAGAGAGAGAGAGAACAAACAAGCCAATGAACGGAAGGGCCTTGTCCTTGAGCGAGAAAACCCGGGAGGTGAGCTTGGAGGGGTAGCGGGCGCCTGGGGCATGGGGATTCCTCGCCCCCAGGCTGGCCAGTCCCCACCACCGCACTGGGCCGGCCACTGTCCAGTGCCAGCTCTGGGTCAAGCAGCAGGTGGGATGCAGTGAGGCTCGGCTGGGAGCTGGGGTGGGGGTCCTTACTGGGATGTCCTGTCTCCCCCCTCCCAGGAGGCCTACAGCCCCTTCCCCAGGTGCCAGGTGTGAATGGGGGGCAGGGGGAGGGTAGCGGCAGACAGACAGATGGACAGATGGCGGGTACAGGCATGGAAGCCCAGGAGCGGGGCTCAGGCAAGCAGAGTGGATCTCAAAGGGGGTGTCCTGAGGGCAGGGAAAGGGCAGAGACAGGCAGCTGCGCCACCAGGATGCCTCAGCTGTGTGGGCCTGAGGCCAGCTCCTGCCCCAGGGCTCTCCACACTGACCCCGACCCAGGCCCTCCTTGGCCTCTGCTCCTGCTCTGGCAGCCGAGGAGGTGGGGTGCCTGGGCAGAGCCGCCTGTGCCTAGACCCCAGGACAGCCGGGGTGGGGGTGGGGGGCAGCACCTGGCTGGGAGCTGGCTGCAGGCGGGGGTGCCCGGCTGAGCGTGAGGGGTTCTTACCACATTTGGAAAGCCTCCCCGTCATCATTTCCATACAGTTAGTGGTGTCTGGAGCACAGAACGGAGAGAGGAGGGAGGGACACGTGTGAAAGTCTTCCCAAGGCCCACGGGCAGGGCGGGGTTTCACACAGGGCCTAGCAGGGGGAGACTGGACAGAGGGAGCCCAGAGTGGGCGGGGCTCGACGGGGAGGGCGGAGCCCGCGGTGGGCGGGGCCTGGTGGGAAGGAACTGGGGTGGGTGGGGCCTGATAGAAACTGGGAGTGGGCGGGGCTCGATGGGAGGGCGGAGCCTGCAGTGAGTGGGCCCTGATGCGGTTCAATGGGAGGGTGAGGCCCGAAGTGGGCGGGGTTTGACGGGAGGAACTGGAAGTGGGCGGGGCTCGACCGGCGGGCGAAGCCCAGTGGGCGGGGCCTGAGGAGAAACGGAGTGGGCGGTGCTCGGCAGGAGGGCGGAGCCCGCAGCGGGTGGGGCCTGACGGGAACTGGTAGTAGGCAGGACTCAATGGGAAAGCGGAGCCCGCAGTGGGCGGGGCCTGGTAGGAGAAAATGGGAGTGGGCGGGTGTCGACAAGGAGGTGGAGCCCACAGTGGGTGGGGCCTGATAAAAACTGGGAGTGGGCGGGGCTCGGCCAGAGGGTGGAGCCCGAAGTGGGCGGGGCCTGGTGGGGAGGCACGGGGGAGTGGGCGGGGCTCAGATGAGAGGATGGAGCCTACGGTGGGTGGCGCTCGCTGGGAACCCAGAGAGGGCGGACGGAGCCAGAGGGAGTGGGGCCTGATAGGGCAGAGCAGGGTGGGTGACCCCAACTGAGAGGGTGGATCCTGGAGTGGGCGGGGCTTTTCAGGGCAGAACTGGGCGTGTCTAAGGCCAAGGTAGCGGGCAGACCCACGTGGGCGGGACTGAAGGCGGAGCCTGGGTGGGCGGGGCACCACTCGAGAGGAAAGAGCTCTGTATGTGCGGCATTAGAGGGGCCAGCCTGGGGCAAGGTGAGCTCAGAGTGTGGCAATTGAGTCGGTGGTCACTGGACAGTGGAAGGCTGCAGTTCTGCCCTCTGCTCTGGGCCCTACCTCAGCTCTGTTCTGGGACGCCCGGGCGTGGAGGCCCTCGGAAGCCTTATCCCCCACTGGCCCTCACGTGATGGTGTCCTTTCCTGGTCTGACCCCCACTCTGCTGGGCTCGGTATCGGCCCTTCTTAGCCTCCTCTGCTCCTGGGAACTGCCAGTGCCACCGGAACCCAGACTTTGCTGTCATGCAGCAGGTCCAAGACTGGCTGAGGACTTGGACCAGGGACCACGGGCTGGAGGCCTAAAGTGGCCGGGATGGGGGCCTGGCACAGGCCACACGGGTGAGAGGTGGGTGCAGCCCTGGGGAGGCATGTGCGCTTGCTCCTGGCTGGGCCTTGTTGGCAGATGGACACAAGGACCCAGAATACACTGCGCTCTGGCCTCGCCTGCCTCGGTTTCCCAGCCAACTGGGCCCCAGGGCAGGAAATTAATCTGGGGCGAGGGCCTGGGTGGCCTAATGGGGTGGGGAGAGACGGTTTCCAGCCTGACTGTCACCCATGGGTGACAAGGCACAGGTTGGGGAGCGACAGACACAGACAATGGAATGAGGATGGTGAGAGGGGGCTGGTGGCCGGTGGGCCTCCAGAGCCCCACACAGAAGCACAGAAGGAGCCCTGAGGTGGGGCCCACACTGGCCTCCGCCTCCAACCTGGAAGCCTGCCTGCCTGCCTGCCTGCAGGTCCTCAGGGCACCGAGGCCCTAGGACTCAGCACCCAGCACCTCCAGCGGCCGCTCTCCTGCGCCCCTGTTCCGGCAGGCCTGGCCGTAACGAGGCCTCAGCCACAGGCCTGAGGTGGTGAGGGCGCCGGGGCCCAGGGAGGGCCGGGGTCAGTGCTGCCCCAGGACCTGCTCTCGCTGCCTGTGGCCTGTGGGGGCCTGGAGCTGGCCCCTGGACATGTGGCGGGGCGGGGGCGTGGGCGGCCCTGCGGGCCAGCCTGGCTCTCCCCCGGTGGCCCTGCCCGCACCCCCTCCCTGCCCCAGTGGCGGGGCCGGACACCTTACCTGCCAGTGTCAGAGGCTACTCTCGTAGCTGGTGGCCACCTTCTGGCCCTTAAGCCCAGCGCCTCGGCTTAGTCCTGGCGCTGGTGGGGGGGGTTCTACAGTGGACAAGAGGCACCTTTCAGTGCGAGGTGCTGGGCCTGGTGCCTGGGTGCGGCCCTACCTCAGCACGGGTCTCACCTGACAGGTGCGGGGCGGCGGGCGGGCTGTGCGAGCTCAGCAGCTGCGTCTGGATGGTCTCCACCACCCTCTTGAAGCGGCGGCTCGGGCCTGGGGGGACAGGAGGCAACATGTGGCGGGCCGAGGGCGGGGGGCGCCGCGGAGGGACCGGGAGTCTCACCTGAGAGCAGCGTGAAGGTGACGGAGTAGATGCCGTTCTCCTTCTGCGCCTCCCCGCCCTCCGTGTACGTGATGTCCACCTGGAACCTGACCGGCTTCTGGAACACGGCGGGGCCCCCGCTCGCCTTGTACTCGGCCCGGAAGCTCGTCTGCGAGATGACGCTGTGGCCGAGGCTGGGGATCTGCAGGGGTGGACGGGACACCTGAGGGCATGCTTTGGCCCGCGCCGCCCAAATGGTGCCCGAGCCAACCTGCCGGAGGTGCCTGCGTGTCGGGGGACCGTGGGGGGCGGCGGGGGGTGGTGCTACGTGGGGTCCGGGATTCAGGGGCTGGTGAGGAACCGTGGGTCGTGTGAGGGGGACCGGAGGAGCAGAGGGGACTCTGGGGCGTGTCCTGAGGTGGGTGGGATGGGGGGGGGGGGTGTTTGTCCCACACACGGCCCTCCCAGGACAGCTGTCACAGGAGACTGCCTGACCCGAGCCCCTGCGGGGTCCTGGCAGAGCTGTGGGCACACGGGGACCTGGGGAAGGGGCTGGACATGGCTGGGGACCACGGCTGTGGCTGCAGGCGCAGGTCCAATTGTGGGGCAGCCCTCGTGTGGCCCAGGAGCCCCCGGCCTCCAGGAAAGGGGCAGCCACCACAGGCGCAAGTCTCACCGACAGGAAGGCATGCACGATGTCCGCCTTGATGGAGCTCAGTGGCTTGTCCTTGATGACCACAAAAATCTGCTCCTCCTTCTCCAGGCTGATGAAGTTGCCGAACCACGACTTTTTGGCCAGCCTGGGGCAGGGGCATGGTGTCAGGACATGCTGTGCCTCCTCCTGACCCTGACCCCCAGCCAAACCTACTACACCGAACCCCATCCTTGATCTGATCCCTCCACCCTGCGCCCTGACCTCCACCATGCCAGATGCCTGCTGGGGTGGGTGGGGATAACACGCAGGGAAGGCCCGGACGGACAGCGGGGTCTGGCCACCCCCTGCCCCGCAGTGGCACCAGCAATAGGGTCGCTCCCGTCCGGGGTTCTTGTCCCATCCTGTGGGGCACCCAGTGCCCCCACAGCAGCACTTGGCACCCAGACCCCTCAGGACCCGGGGGCAAAGGTCGGGGCCCCACCCGCAGCCTCTGCACAGAGACCAGCAGCCCTCAAGGGTTTGCACCCCAAACCGCATGCAACTCTGAGCTCCAAACCCTGACCTCCTGGATAGACCCACAGCACTGCCCCCTGACCCTGGGATCAACCCATAGTGCGGACCCCCTGATACACCGACACACAAGCCCGTTTGCTGAGCAGGCCACCAGGCAAATAGATGCCCCTGCTTCCCACATTCCCCGTGTCCCTGTTTCCCACAGCCCCGTGTCGCCCCATTTTCCTCAGCCCCAGGTCCCCACTTCTCACAGCAGCACTATGGGGTGGGCCAGAGCATGGGGCCCCTGCAAGCGAGCGGTCCTGTCGGGGCTCCCAGTCCAGCAGCCAGCCGGGAGGGCCCTCTCTGTCAGACCTGGTTTCCCGCTTGCTCTGCGTTCCCCAAAGACGCCCAGTCTCGAACGAGGGTCGAGTTAGGTCAGTGCCAGCAGCGAGCCCTCAGGGCAGGGGGTGTGGGGTGTGCTGACTCCCTCCCCGGCAGGGCAGGCTCAGAGGACCAAGAGAGCCCAGTGTCCAGTCAGCGGGTGACGGGGGGCAGGCGTCACGCCTTGGGGCGGGCTGTCAGCCCCCCCCCCACTGTCCTCCTGCTCCAGGCCCACACGACAGGTCACCAGTAGCAGCTCCTAGAAGCCACCTGCAGGGCCGGTGTCCCCCCGGGAGGGAGGGCATCAGGCCACCAACGGCCCAGAGCCTGGTTGTCAGCCACCCCCACCCAGTGACCACAGCGGCCGCTGCACCCCCGGGCCACACTCTGCCTCCTTGCTGCCAGGACCCTCGGGCTCCCCCCCCCCCCCCCCCGCTCTGTGCCGTCCGTGGCCTCCCACCACCTCGGCCCTCCTGCCGCACACTCCAGGGAAGCAGGCGCCAGCCTGGCCTCCAGTGGCAGCTGCCGGGGGGGTGTGACCAGGCCCTGGAGCCGGCCCCATGCTGTGGCTACTCCCCCAGCCCTTCTCAGGGGAGACGCTCGGAGGCTCCCAGGAGCCCGTGGCACTTACTCGGGAGACGACTCTGGCGTCAGGTTGGACATCTCCTCTGGCGTCGGCACTGCACACGGGGACGGGGACAGAGCAGGAGAGGGCTGAGTGCTGGCCAGGCCGCCTGAGAGGGCCGCCACCCATCCTGGGACTGCGGAGGAGGTGGAACCACGCGGGGCCACTGGGGCTGCCCGAGGACACCTCTGCCCTGTACTCACCTTGCAGTTTCCGGCGGTGGAAACGTGGGGAGCCCAGGAAGCTGTTCTTGATGGAGTTGAGACGCGTCCTCCAGGGCACACCCCCGACGCTGGGGCTGGAGGGGGGTGTGGGGGTGGGCGTGCCCGCTGGGCTGTCCTTGGGCGTGTGTACCGGCGTCCCCTTGGGAGTGGGGAGGGGACTGCCCCTCGGAGAGGGATGAGGGGTCACCTGCATGGTGGGGACAGAGCTGGCGTCGGCCCCAGAGCCCATGGGCAGGAGCCGGGCCAGCTGTGGGCCCCTGAAACCGGGCACTGGGGGCCAGGCCTGGGGGCAGGTCGGGCCAGCGTGGACCGTGGCAGGCGGCGGCATCAGCTCGGCCCTGGACAGCAAGGGCTGGGGCTTGGGGCTGGGCCGCGGGGCAGCCTGTGCGGGGAGGACGCGTCCGGGCCAAGCGAGGCTCCGACCAGCTTCTGGCTCCACAGGACGGGGCCCCGGGGGCAGGGGCGGCAGGACAAACTTCCTGACAGGCTGCGGGGTGCAGGACAGGGGCGAGAGCCAAGCACATGCTCCCCGTGCAGGGCAGGGATGGGTAAGGGCACGGGGCACAAGACATAGGACATGAACACAGACAGGGACACAATAGGACAGAGAACGTGCAGTTAGCAAGAGCAGCCCAGTCTGCGGGCCCCTCCCGGTGCTCTGGGGGCCACGCCACGGGGTCCACTCACCCGAGGGCTGGTCAGGGGGCTGGTGGAGAGGCCCGAGGAGGCGCCGCTGATAGATCTGGACCTGTGGGTGCAATGTGAACAGCTCAGGGAGAGGGGCTGTGGGCTCAGCCCTGGCCCAGTGGGCCCTGCAGGCTGGGAGAGCCATTGGCCCCTCCTCAGGACCCTGTGCTCCCCCCATGGGTGCCCCAAGCCCTTGCCAGGGTCCAACCCTCCTGGGTGCTCCCTACTGCATGACCCCAGAGTGTAATCTGTCAGCGAGCTTCCAGAAGCTTCCATCCTGCTCCCCAGGGTCCAGGCTGGCCCAGTAGCAGTCCCAGAGAGTGCCAGCCACACACGAGCAAGTGACAGTCACTAGGACCAGACTGCTTGCCCTGCTCTGTGTCGATGCTGAGGGAAGCAAACAGGGCAGGGGTGCCCAGTGTTTCCGGTGCCCAACAGTGCTTGGGGTACAGGCCTCGCTCGCCACAGCCTGGCCTGCACTATGGGCTGAACTCCAGCGGGCCCCACGGCGCCAGAGCTGAGATGGGCCCAGAGCCCCCAGGAACCGACTGGACAGAGCTGCCCCTACTGTCACTTGTCACTTGGGACAAGACAGAACGAGGGGGCAGGGAGCACCCCAGCCTCTCTGCCCAGCGCCTGAGCCACAGCTGGGGCAGTGCTGGCCCCCAGAACAGCATTCGCATGGGGTAAGGAGGCTGGGAGGGCCTAGCCCACCGAGTTCCCCTGGGTCCCCAGGCAGGTGTACCAGAGAAACAGCCGGCCCCAGGGCCCGGCACAGCACAGAACGGCAGCCTAGCTGGGCCCCGAAACCCACTCCTGAGCCTCAGGCCTCCCTCGAGCCGGGCCGGGCAGGAGCCAGGCCCAGCCCTGCCGCCAGGCCCGCCCTGGACGCGGGGGCGGGGGGCTGCATGTGTACCTGTCGTCTTTGCTGAATTGGGGGTGGGCTTCAGCGATATCCAGGCTTTTACTGAACAATGTCTTACTATAGCGGGAACAAAGCGAGAAGAGAGAGTTACTGCCCTGCCGCAGACAGGGGGCAGGTGAACAGGAGGCAGAGCCGGGGCCCTTGGCAGGAGGCCTGGTCAGGCTGAGGGCCAGGAGTCACCACCAGCCTGAGTGGCCAAGCCACATGAAGAAGCCACAGTGGACTGGGAGGGCCTAGGACCAAGGGTGTTTAGGGGGTGTCCAGAGGGCGCCCCATCCCCACACAGCCCTGCCCCACAGTCTTGGAGGGGTAGTGCTGGTGGGGAGAGGTCGGAGGTCAGGGAAGGCAGGAGGCCAACAAGAACAGTTCACCCCAGCAAGCAAGAGAGGAGGCAGCCAGGGCCGAGTGCAGGGGGGCTCCTCCTGCCCCCCATGCAGAGCCCCCACCCCCCACAGGACCAAGCATATGGAAAGAGGGTTAGGGTCCCAGGCTGGAGGCTGAGGAGGCCTGGAAGGGTCTTGGAGGCGGTGGTCCCTGACTCCCCGAAAGCACGCTGGAGGCCTGACGGAGCCCAGACCACAAGGCTCATCAGGGGTGGCCCGGGGCTTTCTCCCAATCTCCCACCCAGAACTGGCTCATGGTTGAGCCCCCAGGCAGGCACACAAGCCAGGGCCAGGGGTGCACCCAGCCCTGCAGACCTGGAGGTCTATCTCTGGAGGCGTGGGGAACATGTCTCACCTGCTCAGCCCTCTGAGTCCCATGTCTGCCCCCATACTCTCTCCAGCCCACCTGGCAGTGGCAGACCAGCACCAAGTGGAGCAGGTCTGCTGTGCTGGGGCTTCTCAGTATGGCCAGCCCCACCCAGCCCCATCCAGCTCAGCCCAGCTCAATTCAGCCCAGCCAAGCATAGCCTAGCTCAGCCCAGCCCAGCTCAGCCCAGCTCAGGTCAGCCAAGCACAGCCCAGCTCAGCTCAGTCCAACCCAGCCAGGTTCAGCCCAACCCAGCTCAGCAAAGCCCAGCTCAGTTCAGCCCAGCCCAGATGAACCTAAAACCAACTCAGTCATGCTCAGTCTAACCCCGCTCGGACCAGCCCAACCCAGCTCAGTCCACCCCAACCCAGATCAACCAAGCTCAGCCCAGGACTCAGCTGAGTGCACAGACCCAGCCCAGCCCAGTCCAAGCTTGCCCAGCCCATCAGTTCAGTCCAGCCCAACCCAGCTCAACCCAGCCCAGACTCAGCTAAGCCCAGCTCAGGTCAGCCCAACCCAGACCAGCCCAAACCAGCCCAGCCCAACCCAGCCCAGCCCAGCAAGCCCAGCCCAGCCCAACCCAGCTCAGCCCAACCCAGCCCAGCTCAGCCCAGCCCAGCTCAGCCCAACCCAGTCCAGCTCAGACCAACCCAGCTCAGCCCAGCCCAGTCCAGCCCAACCCAGCCCAGCCCAGCCCAACCCAGCTCAGTCCAGCCCAGCCCAATCCAGCCTAGATCAGCTCAACCCAGCCCAATTCAACCCAACCCAGCCCAGCTCAGCCCAACCCAGACCAGCCCAAACCAGCCCAGTCCAACCCAGAGCCCAGCCCAGTGCAACCCAGCCCAGCTCAGCCAAGCACAGACCCAGCCCAACCCAGCCCAGCTCAGACCAACCCAGCTCAGCCCAGCCCAGCCCAGCCCAGCTCAGCCCAGTCCTGCCCAACCCAGCCTAGATCAGCCCAGCCCAACCCAGCCCAGCCCAGCCCAGCCCAGCTCAGCCCACTCCAGCCCAGCTCAGACCAACCCAGCTCAACTCAGCCCAGCCCACCCCAGCCCAACCCAGCTCAGCCCAGCCCAACCCAGCTCAGCCCAGCCCTGCCCAACCCAGCCCAACCCAGCTCATCCCAGCCCAGCCCAACCCAGTCCAATCCAGAGCCCAGCCCAGTGCAATCCAGCCGGCTCAGCGAAGCACAGACCCAGCCCAACCCAGCTGAGCCCAGCCCAGCCCAGCTCAGCCCAACCCAGCTCAGCCCAACCAAGCCCAGCCCAGCTGAGACCAACCCAGCTGAGAACAACCCAGCCCAGCTCAACCCTGCCCAGCTCAGCCCAACCCAGACCAGCCCAAACCAGCCCAGTCCAACCCAGAGCCCAGCCCAGTGCAACCCGGCCCAGCTCAGCCAAGCACAGACCCAGCCCAACCCAGCCCAGCTCAGACCAACCCAGCTCAGCCCAGCTCAGCCCAACCCAGACCAGCCCAAACCAGCCCAGTCCAACCCAGAGCCCAGCCCAGTGCAACCCGGCCCAGCTCAGCCAAGCACAGGCCAAGCCTAACCCAGCCCAGCCCAGCCCAGCTCAGCCCAACCCAGCCCAGCCCAGATCAGCCCAGTCCAGATCAACTCACCCTGGACCAGCTCAGATCAGCCCATATCAACCCACCAAGTCTGGCAGGACAAGTCTGAGCTTACTCCAGCAGTGCAGCTGAGCTCTTACCCTGTGAGCCCAGCCCAGCCCCGTTCCGCCAGGACAGCTAAGCAGTTCTTCCCAGAGCAACAAAGTAGCCCAGCACTTTCCTCAGTCCTGAGTCCAGGCTCATCAGTCCAGCGCAGCCCGGAGAGTCCAGCTGGCCCAGCAGCCTGGGAGCTATGTGTCCAGGTGACAGGGCCCAGGAAGCAGAGCTGGGCCAGGCTGGTGCTGTGCTACCCAGGGAGAAGAGGTCATGCCAACACTGTGCCACCCCAGGACGCTGCACGCACCTCTGGCTGTGCTGGGCCATCTCGATGGCGCGGCGTGCAGGCACCGGGGAGCCGCCATCAGTCACGCTCAGCACCTCCATGGACTTGCGCTCAGGCCTCCGTTTGCCATGCCGGTTCAGCATCGGGGAGTCCACACGCTTCCGAGGGGGGTCTGTGCACACAGGAGGCGTCAGGACCAGGCTCCGGGGCGGGGTGGGAGCTCGGCAGGCCCCTGGAGGACCAGTACCTGTTTCATTCCGGGGAGGCAGGTCCTCGTCCTCGTGGCTGGGGTACCTTTCCTTCCGGTCCAGGAGGAGGAAGTAGATCATCTTCTCCTGGTTCTCCCTGCAGCGGCCGGGACAGGGCCAGAGGGTGAGTCCCGGGGAGCAGCCCGGAGACGCCCACCCTCCCGTTCGGCACACACGCACTCCTCAGAGAGCAGGTCCTGCAGCAGCTTGTTGCGGTCACGGAAGCAGCCGAGCGAGTGCATGCTGTCCAGCACGTCGGGGTCGATGTCCTCCAGGCTGGGCAGTGAGCGGATCTGCACCTTGCGCGGGGCGGGCTGCTCTGGCTCCGGCTCGTTCTTGCCCCCTCTGTGGGCGACAGGGCCGGTCACTATGGGACAGCCAGGCAGGGGCATCGGGGCCCCGGAGCCTGCTGCTGTCCCTGCGCCCAGCCCCGCACACCTGTGTCCTGCCTGCGCCCCGACCCGTGGACCACAGGCCCTGAGAGCTGGCCTCCCCCCTTCCCTAGCAGGCCCTCGGCCATGGGCACAGGCAAAGCAGTTGATTAGTGGGAGGAAGAGCTACTTACATATACCATGTGTGTTTCTGAATGTGCTCTAGCTACAAGGAAAGAGAGACAGGTTAGTACGCGGAAAAGGAGGGGCCCGCGTTAGCCGGGGAGCACGGGGATGGAGCAAGCAGGAGTCAGACAGGGGCTCAGCGGTGAGGAGGAGGGGGAGGGCGGGAGGGGCGGGGAGGGCTTGGTCCCCGGCCGGTGCCAGCAGAAGAGGAAGTGCCTAGAGAGAGAAGGAAGTGGGACGCGGGAGCTGCAGGAAGCCTGCTCCCAGATGCCTGTGCTGGGGGCCCGGGAAGGAGGTGGACGGGGCTGGGCTGGGGTGCGGGCGCTGCCAGGGGTTCCGCCCTGCTCTCCACCCAGCGCACGGGTGGCCCAATCCCCTTCTGGAGCTTCCTGTTGCCCAAGGACACGGGCCAGTGAAATGGGCAGCTGTACCCCTGACCCTCATGCTAGCGGGGTGGGCCTGGAACTGTGCCCCCACACTCAGGCACACGCCTCAGGCACCTGTGCACACCCACTGCACACATGCACACACCATGTGCTTTCTTTGAATACGTGGACACGTTTGTGGAAACACCCACGATGAGTGATGTGTTCTAACGTACAGATGCGTATGAGCAGACACCCAGGATGTGAGTTCTGACGCACGGATGTGTATGAGCAGACACCTATGATGTGTATTCTAACACACGGATGTGTATGTGAAAACACCCATGACGCATGTTCTAACACGTGGATGTATACGTGCAAAGACCCATGATGTATGCTCTGACACATGGGCGTGTGTGTGCAGACACCCATGACATATGTGTGTTCTACCACACAGACGTGTTTGTGAAAGCACACGTCTCTTACATAACTCATAACCATGTACACATACACATATCCATGATGCGTGTACATGTGCACCCTGTGAACTCTAACATGCCCAAGTTCATCCACAACACACCTGTAGATACCTGTGTGCACTGACATACTTGAACACGTCGATGTACACGTATGCATGCACACCCATGTGTTCTACATTCATGAACGTGCCCGTGGTGTGTACACCTTCTTGTGTCAGAACACACAGGGACACGCACACTCATCCATGACACACATGCATAAAAACCCATGTCATAACATGCATTAGCATGTCCATGGATGCACACGTGTCCATGACACACATATACACCCTGGTGTTCTAAAATGAATCGATGGACTCGTGCACACACGTCCATGACACACAAGTACCCCCACATCCGTATGTCCTAACAACCCACACACAAACACTCACGGCACCTGTGTCTACGTACCTTCTGGCGTGCAGACAGGTCCAAAGCAGATAGGTGCCCATGCATTCATCCATGTCAAGCGTGCGTATGTACTCATACATGTTCCGGCACACTAACATGCCAATGCATGTGCAGATAAGCATGCAAACGCACCCCTGGAATATGTATGTGCTCGCTCATGTGTGTTCTAACACCTGCACACACACTGGTACCGCCGTGAGGACACACTCGGGTGTGCCAACACACACACAAGCCCACGCGTGCCGCAGACACCCACACGAACACACCCCACATTTACCGCAGCCAGGAGTGTCTGCGTGCTCGCCATATGCACATGCGTGCATGCAGCTCCCACACGCTCAGTCGCGCGCGCACGGGTGCTCACATACACACGTGCAGTGGGGGGCGCCCTGCCGAGCACGGGCTGCCCGGGAGGCGGAGCCAGGCGCGGAGGTGGCAGGCGGTGGGAGCTGCCCCCGGGACGCACCGTGAGGCGCCGAGCGGCGTCCACCTCGATCATGCCGCGCAGCAAGCTCTGGCAGTCGGGCGGGATGAAGTGCGGCATGTGGAACACGCCCCGCTTGACCTTCTCCAGAAGCTGCCGCAGGTTGTCGTCATCGAAGGGCAGAGCCCCCTGCCGTGGGGGAGGGGCCGTGAGGGCGGCGGCAAGAGGGACAGGGGCGGAGAGGGCGGGGAGGGCGCAGGGGCACTCACCACCAGCAAGGCAAAGAGGATGACGCCGCAGCTCCACACATCTGCCTTGCGGCCGTCATACTTCTCCCCCTGCGGACGGCAGGTCCCAGAGGTCAGCGAGGGCAGCGGGCTTGGGGTCAGGCGTCACGGCGGGAGGCAGCGGGTGGAGGGCCCCAGGGACAGGGCTCTGGGGCGCGGGACTCGCGACTTACCCGGATGACCTCAGGGCAGGCGTAGTGGGGGGACCTGCAATTGAGGGATGGCTGTGAGGGACCGAGCCAGCAGGCGCCCCGAGCCAGGGCAGGGCCAGAGTGGCAGCCAGCGGCCGGGGCGACAGTGACGTGAGGAAGTGCGGGGGAGTGTGGGGGAGCGAGGGGTGAGAGGTGAGTGGGGCCGAGTGAAGTGAGCGGGGAGTGTGGGGCAGGGGTCCGCGCTCACCCGCAGCTGGTCTCCAGCAGGCTGTCCCCGACCTGCAGCGAGGCCATGCCGAAGTCGGCGATGCGGATGTTATTCTTCTCGTCGAGCAGCAGGTTCTCGGGCTTCAGGTCTCTGTGGCTGAGGGCAGGCGGCTGGGGTCACAGGGCAGCCCCCTCCCCACCCGGGGCCCCGCCGCACCCTCGACCCCAGTGCTCCCTGACTGGGGGCCCCACACTGACAGGCCCAAACCCCTCCAAGGGGCCAGAGGCGCGTGGGGCTCTGCGGGGCGCGGGATTCCCCCACACACCATATCGAGTGGCTGTGGCAGAAGTCGAGGGCGGAGATGATCTGCCGGAAGAACTTGCGGGCTTCCTTGGGGGTGAGACGCCCCTTCTTGACCAGGTAATCGAACAGCTCCCCTCCGGACACGTGCTCCAGCACCAGGTACCTGCAGTGGCAGTGTCACACGGCCCCTGGGGCTGGGCCCGTCCCAGAAGCCACGGGACAGGCTGGGGTGGTGCTGGGCTGGGTCCTGTTCCCCCGGAACCTCAGAGGGTTGCGTGTTTGCTCTGCAGGTCAGGCAGGGGCAGGTGCAAGGCCCCCGCGGGCAGGGGAGACGAGCACTTCCAGAAGGTTCTGGGACGGCTAAGGACAAGGACACGGCAGGCACAGGGGACACGGGGAGCAGCTTCTGGTCTTGTAAAAATCAGGGCTCAGGGATGGGGCAGACTCTGGAGAGCAAGAGGCATGTCTGAAAAACCCATCAAGGGAACCTCCTCAAAGCCCCGAAAGCCCCCACCCCACGTCCCTCCTCATGAGAGTCGGAGCTGAGGCCATGGGAAGTTCCTGCCCTTCCAGCATCCCCACACCACAGACTCACAGGACTGCGCACCCCAATACCACAGACCTCACAGAGCTGGGCATCCCCATACCACGCATCTCACAGGGCTGCGTACCCCCATAACAGATCTCACAGGGCTGCGCAGCCCCATACCACAGACTTCACCGAGCTGCGCACCCCGATACTACAGACCCGACAGTACTGTGTATACCAACATTGCAGAACTCAGAACCCCTCAGGGCACTGAGGGGCCCGACCTGGCCGAGGGGAAGAGGGAGACTGTCCGCGCCAGAGCACCCAGAAGCTTCGGGGATGGTGATGGGCACCCTGCTCAGTGGCTGTGGCACCTTCACCTTCAGGAGAGTGACCTCTGGCAGGCAGGGCCATACGCTGACCCCACCCGCCTTCCCTGTTGGCCCCCGCCTTTGGTTGGGCAGTCGTGCCCCTCGGCCCCAGGCTGGACAGCTCCCGAGTCCCCAGCAACAGGATGGTCTCCACCCAAAGCAGAAACATCCGACCCCTGGCCAGCCAGCAGCCCCAGTGCCTGCCCCGGGGCCATCCCAGTCCACAGGACCCAACAATACCTACAAATATTTTTTGTTCTCGTACACGTCGTGCAGCTTCAGAACGTGGGGATGCTCAATGAGCTTCAGGATGGCGATCTCCCGCTCCACCTGCATGGGGGGGACAGACTTAGGGGGTGCCTGAGGCCCCACCCTCCCGCAGCCCCGCCCAGGCCCCGCCCACAGTCCCGCCCGGCCACGCCCACAGCACCACCCCTGTGTTTAGCAGGCCCCGCCCACAGCCCCGCCCACCAGGCCCCGCCTTGCCCACACCCCACCCCGTCTATAGCCACGCCCACAGCCCCCCAGCCACGCCCACAGCGCCACCCCGTGTTTAGCAGGCCCCGCCCACCAGTCCCCGCCTTGCCCACACCCCACCCCGTCTGTAGCCACGCCCACAGCCCCGCCCCACACGCCCGCAGCCCCGCCCTCACCTTCATCAGCACAGACTCGCTGAGTTTCTCCCGGTTGACGATCTTGATGGCCACCTTCTGGCACGTGACACAGTGAATCCCCAGCTTCACAAGGCCTGAGGGGAAGCACAGGTCAGACCACCCACGTGCCGGACTAGGCATGCTGGACCAGCACCTGCTCCCCCCCCAGCTTCCTGCGGGGTCTGCCAGTTGGACCTCCACAGCATCGGTTCTCTCGCCGCCTGGGTCCCCCACACAGTCCTCCCCTTCCCAGCAACCCAGAGCGAATCAGACAGGAGCACCCCTCCCACGTCAGCCTCTGTCCTGGGACCGACACCAGGCTCCCTGTGGCGCAGGGGTGCTACTGGCTCTTCCCCTGGAAGCCCCAGCCACCGTGCTGGCCTGCTGCGAGACAAGGACCCGGGACACCCCCACACCCTCCTGAGCCACATACCGCTTTCTACAGGCATGGGACTGCTGTGTCCCCGCAGCTGCCACCAGAGGGCGTCGGTGGTGGGGGCCTCTGGCAGCCCGCAGCAATGGTGGACTGGGCAGTGCCTCCTGCCTCAGGGCACCCCGCCCCGTCGTGTGGCTTTTTGGCCTTCCTGTCTTGCAGGAGACCTGGTTTGCATGGCGACTTTCACATGTGTGTACCTGCATGCACGCCATTGTGCGTGTCTGTGTGCACTGTGCATGGATGCGTGTGTGTGCTCTCACCAGTCTGCAAGAGACGATTGATTTTTACAGGAATCAGCCTTCTGCTATATGTACTGAAAAGGTGTCTCCTTTCCCACCGTGCTGACTGCTCTCATCCTTCCCTGGCGTGAATGCACCGAGTCAGCACTTCCCTTGCAGCTGTGCAGTGGGCCACATGGTGGCACTGCAGAAGCTGGACAGCCACGGGCTACTCTGGGCAGACACTAAACAGGTGCCTGGGGACTTAGGGAGCGACCAACAGCTGGCAGGCAGAGCTCGGAGCACTGCTGGCTCCAGCTGCCTGAGTGATCTTTGATCTGCAGTAAGCCCGGTGGCCTGGGTCTGATCTGCAGTAAGCCCGGTGGCCTGGATCTGAAGGAACAGCAGAGGTCAGGAGTGGCTGCAATGCCAGACCAACCCTTGGAGAGACCCAGGAAGCAGCCTGGCAGTGCACGGTACAGCCGAGGGCGCGAGCAACCCCTGTGGGAAGAACAAGTCCAGCAACCCCAAAGAGAGGGCAGCTGCCTGCACGGACAGCCAGGGCTGCAACCGAGGGTCAGCTCCCACTGCCCAGGTACAGCAGTGGGCATGCCTCACCCCAGCACATGCTCCATACATGCCTCATCCCTGCACACTCCACGCACACCCCCCTCCCTGCACATGCTCCATATACTCTGCACACGATCCACACGCCTCACATCCTGCCATGCTCCACACATGCCTCACGCCCAGCACACGTTCCAGACGTGCCTTGCCCCTGCAATGCTCCATGATTACACCCTGATCACACTTCATGAATACCTCACCCCATCACACACGCACACCGAAAACACCTCACCCCTGCACGCACTCTGTACACACATCACCCCTGCACACGCTCCTATACACCTTGAGGTCACACAGATGTGGGTGAACGTGGCCCTCAATGAGCTCCTTACAGTGGGTTACCGTGAGCATGGGACAAAGACACAGGACACAGACACAGGACATAGGCAGGAGAGACAGAGGACACGGGACAGACACAGACATGAAACACAGGACAGACACGGGACACAGACACAGGATATAGACAGGAGAGACACAGGACACAGACACGCGGCTTTCTCTGTAGGCAGGCGCTGGCCTAAACAGCACCCACCCCCAGGTTCCCCAGGGCCTGGGGGCAGAATATATCCCGAGCAGGCAGGAGCTGGCAGAGGATCATGGGAGCTTCAAACTGGCTCACGCCTCCCCTGGGGATCTGGCAGTGGGGACCCTGGTCAGCAGGCCTCCTGCTGAGGGGTATATGGAGCATGGGGCCTCCCCACACCCTCTGTTCCAGGCCACAGGGGGCCAGCAGGTGGCACCCCCCCCAAAGAACCCTCTTCATGCACCTCCCCACACACACTAGCTAAGCCTGTCCCAGGAAGGACCAGCCCTCTGCCTGACTCCTGGACAGAGTGGCGTCCTCAGGTGTACACTCTGGAAGATGTGGCTGCTCCCCTTTCTCGGCACCTGGGGACATGCCACCAACTGGGGCTGGACACTGGACCCCATCGAGTCATACAGCCAGAGCACTCTGCTCCCAACCTGACCCAGGAGCACCGACGGCAGGGGGGCAGGTGACAGGAAGGTAACAGGGCAGGTGATGGGCAGTGATGAGGGGCAGGTGACAAGGCAGGACTGCAGGGCCAGGTGACAGGGCCAGGTGACATGGGCAAGTGATGGAGCAGGAGCAGCACCCTCTTGGCCTGGCCCCCCCGGGACCTCAACCCGATGGCTGACGATGATGAGGCCCCTCCATGAGGAGTGTCCATAGCAGACCTAGACTGGGCAGTGCCGTCCTGGACTTGCCCCGACGCAGGAGCCCGCGAGTCCCCTACAGACACCCGCCAGCTCCCAGGAGCCCCGTCTGTGCTCGTCTGACTCGCTCTAAATCCCTCAGATCCAGGCTTAGCAGCAACAGCCGAACAGCCGCCCTCCACCCCCCACTGCCTCCACCATGCAGGAGCCCCCGGACAGCATCTGGGAGCGGGGGTTGCTAGGCAGGAAACTGCAACCTTCCTCCTGGGAGCCTTAACACCTGAGCTGTGTCACCCCTACCCTGCTCCGGGGTGGTCACTCACCCATCATCACTTGCAGTGGTCACCCACCATCTCTGGGGGTCACTCACCTGTTATCACTGCGGTGGTCACTCACTGTCTCTGGGAAGGTCATTTACCCACTGTCCTGGGGGGTCACTGTGTCTGCGGGGATCACTCACTGTCATTGGGATGGTCACTCACCTGTTATCACTACAATGGTCACTCACTGTCTCAGTGGGATCACGCGCCCAGACTCAGGGTCACTCACCCACTGTCTCTGGGGTCACCCGCTGTCACTGAGGTGGTCACTCACCCACCATGACGAGGCTTGGGGTGCACACAGAATGGGCGGCCCAGACTCTCAAGCAACAGCCTGCCAGCAGCCCCACCTAAGAGAGGCATTGTCCTTTGCAGAGACCTGTGTGCCCTGGAACTCAGGGCCTGGGTCACGGGAGGTCAAGGATGAGGGACCTGAAGTCACATGAGGTCGTTCTGGGCTGGAGCAGGGTCAGCACAGGTTCCAGCCTCATGGCCAGTGCAGGAGGGCCTGAGGCAGGCAGCACTGCAGGATTCATGGCCAAAGCCCGCCAAGTGACGGGCCCCCAGAACTGCTAGACACCTCGGCCTGAAGAAGAGTGGGGAGGGTGGACAGGGAGTGGGCAGGGCTGATGGGGGCCGCTGGGGACAGGTGTGTGGCAGGGAAGGAAAACTTCAGCACCGGGGCGCTGGACAGCGCCACTGCGCCTCCTGGGCTGAGGGGTGGGGGAGGAGCCGGACTAGAGGTGGGGGAGCCGCTCGGGTGCCTGGAGGTGAGCGAGGGCTGGGGTGCCCTGGAGCCTGAAAGCTCCTTTTGACATAAGCATTCAGGGAGGGGCTGCGGCTCCTGTGACCCCAAGTGCCCCTGAGTCTTCCACCCCTGCGACAGAGTCCCCCCATGACCTCAGGTCCTCCAGCCCAGCGACGCTAAGTCTTCCAGCTCATGACCCTGAGTCCCCTGCTCCTATGACCCCAAGTCCCCCAGGAGAGGATGGGGCAGAGCCAGGCGGCAACTCCCTGACCAAGCCCCCGGCAATGCGCCCCCGCGTCTGCATGGCGGCAGGAAGGACCCCTCTGCTCAGAGCCAGAGGCCAGCAAACACTGGGGCTTGGCAGGTCCCTGGCACACAAACCAAAGAGCCCGTGACCAGCCAGGGGTCAGGGAGACACGAGCAGGGACCGGCCAGCCTCATGTCCTCCGGAACTCAGCAGTGCCAACCTGAGCTGAGAGTGCGACGCCCACCGGGGCAGGGGTGCTGCTGCCTGTGGGAGCCTGGACTCGGACAGAGGGATGGAAAGATGAATGGAGGAACGACAGGCAGACAGGCAGATGGATGGCGGACGGATAGCTGGATGGGTGGGCAGGCGGCGATGGAAGGGGCTCCCCACCCCCACCCGTCGCAGTCCGGGATTCGCCCAGATAATCGGGGGTGCGACCCGGCCTGGTGTCCCTGCCACATCCATGTTCCAAATGTGGGGGGTGGAGGGAACAGCCACTGCTGAGACAGCCACACCACAGGCCTCGGGGCAGCCTGGGAACCAGGGTCACAGCTCAAGAGGCCCGCAGCACCCCCAGGCCTGTTCCCCCCAGGACGGGGCAAGCCCAACGCACAGCACAGGGACCCTGAGGGCAGACTGGGCACCTCTGGGGGTGTCTGTGATCCAAAAGTACAGGCGTCCTAGTGCCCCAGGACACCTCCATGCTGCCCAGCAAGGCCCCCCCACCAGGCTGCCCCCAGTCACGCGGCAGCTCCCGTGGCACCTAACTCTGGCTGCTGTGTGCGGGGCCGGTGTCCCGTCAGCACAGAGGGCTGCCCCACCCGGCTCTCCACCACCAGCTCTGGGGTCCCCCGGGCCACATTCCGGGCCCAGCAGCCGTCCACCGCCCCCACAAACCGTCCTCGGCTGGGAGTGTGTGCAGACTGACGTGTCCCCAGCTTCTATGACGTCACCAGCCCTGCCTGTCCGCCTCCGTCCTGGGCCATGGCCAGTCCTGCCCAGTGGCGCCCCGGGAGCAAGTGACCAGGGTACAGCCCGGGCTTCTAGGCCCTTGTGGCCATCAGGGGCCCACATCAAGGCAGGGGTGCCACCAGGCCCAGGTGTAAAAGGACACGTCCTCTCAGGGGCTGTGGTCAGGCGGTGTCCCCAATCCCACCAGCGCAGGGAAGAGTGGGAAGGGCGGCTTCTCCCGGCGAGTGTGCTTGGAGGCTGGGGTTTCCCAGCGGTTGTGTCCAGGCTGGGTTCTCAGCAGCACGGCCACAATCCCTGCTTTGTCCTGTCCCTGCCCCCCCCAACCCACAGCCCATCTGAGCCTGAGTGACCAGTCCCACACAGCAGCACCCCAGCTGGCGACGAGGCCTTGGCCAGGCTCACACGGCCTGCCTGCAGGGCCCTGTGTGGACTCACAGAGGTCCAGAGCCCACAAGGCTGACATCCACGCGCCCCCATGCATACCAGACCCTGAGCACTGAAGCTCCCAGAAGCAGGTTTGGGGGCCGGAGAAATAGCACAATGGACAGGCCTGGCACACGGTCGATCCAGGTATGATCCCTGGCACCCCGTACGGTCACTGAAGCCCACCAACAGTGATTCTGTTTTTTTTTTGGAGTCACACCCAGCAATGCACAGGGATTATTCCTGGCGGTGCTCAGGGGAACATATGGGATGCAGGGAACCAAACCCAGTTGGCCGCGTGCAAGGCAGACGCCCTCCCCACTGTGCTATCTCTCCAGCCCCACCAAGAGTAATTCTTGAGCACAGAGTCAGGAGTAATCCCTGAACATCACTTTGTGTGGCCCAACAACAACAACCCCCCAAAAAGCAACAGGTTCTGTGGGTTGCTGAGCTGAGCCGAGCCAGGCTCCAGAACACCCAACCCCCTGAGACAGGGTAGTGGTCACAAATGCCCTTCACCCAGGGGCCCCAGACCAAGCAGCACTGCCCACTGGGCCCAGGGGAGCATCTATGTCCAATGGTCATGAAGGAACAGTGGACGCCAGACTCCCCAGCAGTCTGAGTGCCCACACCATGGGTGGACAGCATGGAAGGTGCTGGAACAATCACGCCAGGCACAGAGGCTGCAGGTGACTCTGGGTTTATAGACTTGCTGGTATTCCAGGCCCACACAGTGGCCTCCTGGGCTTGGAACGCCCTGGACAGCCAGCACAGCCAGCTGCATGGCGACCGGGTCCACAAGGGCTGGAAGGAGAGGGATGTCTCATGGGAGTCCACACACATGACCGCCTAGCACGAGGCACCCACAGTGGGGGGGACAGGGATGGGGCAGGGGCTTTGCCAGGACAGGCACCCCTGAAAGCCTGGGGTCTACCAAGAATCAGCCGTCACATACTAGCTGGCTTCTGGAAGGTTCCAGATACCTACCATGCACACCCCAGGGTGACGTGAGGGAGGCCCCTGGGTGCAGCTCGCTCCACCCTGCTCCCATGAAGACCAAGGACCCCCAGTCTGCATCCGAGCACTGCTTGCCTGGAGGACCCTTGGCAGGCTCTTGTGGGCCCCTCGGCAGTGGCTGTCCAGTCCCAGAGGGGGCCGAAGCCATACTGCATCAGGAAGGAAACTCACCTTGCGTGCAGACAATCCGGGTTCAATCCTCAGCACCCCACACGGTCCCTCAAGGTCCACCAGGACTGATCCCTGAACACAGCAGGTGCAGCCTCCCCCCAAACAAAAACAAGGAAGGGAGGGAGGGCCCAGAGGGTCTCAGAGCATTAGGGGCCACAAAGACCAGTGCCCCAGCACCCACACTCTCCCCTCCCGGTGACCCACTACCACCTACCCAGCTGCCCTCCTGCACCTGGAGCTGCTCGTGGACACAGGGCTGTCCCTGACCCCCAAGATTCTAGATGGACCCCGAGAAAACTCTGGGCATCCACCCCATTCCCAAGGAGCAAGTGGAGCTTCAGCTGGGTCCTGCGGGCGGGCTCAGGCAGGTCACAAGGTGGGCGGGAGCAGACGCCGTGGCAGGGTGGCCCCTGCTCTCCTCACTGCCACCCCCACCCCACCCCATCTCCAGCTGCTGCTCATCGACCCCCTGCTTCCAGTACTCACCCCTGCCCCCCACTCACCCAATCTGTTCTCAAGGTGCCTCAGGCTCCAGCACAGGACACCCAGCCCACACCTGACCTCCCGCTGCACTGTACTGGGTCAGCTGGACACCTCTCGCTGCTAACTGCACCTCTTCTGAACCTCAAGCCTCCTGAAGTCTCTGGGATACTTCCCCGAGGAAATCCTGGCCAACGCCCCAAGCAAGAGGGGTGTCCAGAGGCCAGTCAGCTCAGGGCAGAGCTGGGGGGGTCAGACACGGTTCCCAGATGGGACAGGGGTGCTGAGGGCTGGCAGCAACCCAACAGCACGGTCTGAGAGAGCACAGGTATGCCTGGGATCTACATCAGTGGGGATGTGGAGAGACTCGGGGTTCACATGGGATCAGGTGTGGGACACTCGGAGTTCACATGGGATCAGGCGTGGGACATTCGGGTTCATGGGGATCAGGTGTGGGACACTCGGGGTTCATGGGGATCAGGTGTGGGGACACTCAGGGTTCACGTGGGATCAGGTGTGGGACACTCGAGGTTCATGTGGGATCAGGTATGGGAACACTTGGGGTTCACATGGGATCAGGTATGGGACACTCGGGATTCATGAGGGATCAGGCATGGGACACTCGGGGTTCACATGGGATCAGACGTGGGACACTCGGGGTTCACGTGGATCAGGCATGGGACACTCGGGGTTCACAAGGGATCAGGCGTGGGACACTTGGGGTTCACATGGGATCAGGTGTGGGGCACTTGGGGTTCACGTGGGATCAGGCATGGGACACTCGGGGTTCACATGGGATCAGGTGTGGGGCACTTGGGGTTCACATGGGATCAGGTGTGGGACACTTGGGGTTCACGTGGGATCAGGCATGGGACACTCGGGGTTCACGAGGGATCAGGTGTGGGACACTTGGAGTTCACATGGGATTAGTTGTGGGACACTCGGGGTTCACGAGGGATCAGGTGTGGGACACTTGGGGTTCACATGGGATCAGGCATGGGACACTCGGGGTTCACAAGGGATCAGGCGTGGGACACTTGGGGTTCACATGGGATCAGGTGTGGGACACTCGGGGTTCACGAGGGATCAGGTGTGGGACACTTGGAGTTCACATGGGATTAGTTGTGGGACACTCGGGGTTCACGGGGATCAGGTGTGGGGACACTCGGGGTTCATGTGGGATCAGGTGTGGGACACTCGGGGTTCATGTGGGATCAGGCATGGGGCACTTTGGGTTCACAAGGAAGCAGACATGGGGGTGACACTTGGGGCTCACCCAGGAATGGACGTGGGGGTGGAGTCCCAGGGGTTCTGGTGTGGGAGATCCTCAGGGGTGTGGGGGAGGGTCTCTGGGCGTTGACGAAGGAGGTGTGGGAACACTTGGAGTCAAGGCCAAATGGGAGTGGGGCAGGCCGGCACATCTCCCTGGGCAGGCCCAGCTGGCCAGGGCACCCTTATCTGTGGGCCAGGCCAGCCGGGACACTGCGCCTCTGCCTGAGCGTGTCCCAGGACCTGCAAAAGGGTCAGCAGTGCCAGAGGCGAGCCCGGGCAAGAGGAGCGAGCGCCCGGGACTCTTCGTCACACCCGCAGAGGGGGCCAGGGCCCCGCGGCCGCCGGGCGAGGGGGTGCAGCCACAGGCGCTCCCCCAGCACCGGGTTCCCCAGGGGGAGAACCGAGTGACCGAGTCTGGCATCCCGGCCCGGCCCTTCTCCTCGGGAAGGACCCACTGCGGGACGGCTGGCGCGGGGGAGGGGGTGGGGGACACCCAGGCCGCCCGCCCCTGCGCCTGGCCCACTTTCTCCCCAACTCCACCTCGGGGCCCCACCCTGCGCCCCCTCCGCCCCTTCCCGGCTCCCCACCAGAACTTCCCGGCGCGGCGGGGGCCGGGGCGGCCTCCGGGGAGCAGGGAAAGGGCCGGGCCGGCCTCCACAAAGCCAGCCGCGGGCCCGGGGGGCCGGGACCCCCGCTCCGCGCCCGGCGCCCGCCCGGCGTCCCCCGGGAGCGCGGCGAGCGGCTCCCCGGCGGCGGGGGCCGGGCGGGCCGGGCGGGCCGGCCGGGGCGGGGCGCGGCGAGGCGCTGTCCAGCGCCGCCAGCGCCGGGCGCCGGGCGCCGAGCGGCGGCCGGGCCGGGGGCGCGGGCCGGGGCGCAGCTGCTCGGGCCGCGCGCCCATTAGCGCGGCGCGGACGGCAGATGGGCCCCCGCGGCCCGCACAAAGGGCCCGGCCGCCGCGCGCACAATGCGGCCGCCGCGCACCTGCACCGGCCCGAGGGGCGCTGGCCGCGCCGTGCGCCCCCGCGCGCGCCGCGTGTCCTTGGGCCGCGCCCGGCCGGGCGCAGCGCGCGGCCTCGCGGGGCCCGGCGGCCGCCCCGGGCCCATTGTTCGCGCCCGGCCGCACTCACCCGTCTGCCCCTTGCCCAGCGTCTTCTCCAGCCGGTAGGGCCCCACATACTGCGCCCCGCCGCCGTCCTTCCCCGTCGATGTCATCGCGCCCGGGCCCGGCGCCGGCCAGGTGGGCGCCCCGGGCGGGCGGGCGGCGGCAGGGAGGGGCCGCGGCGCGCGTCGGCCGGTCCGCGCGTCCGTCTGTCCGCGCGCTGCGCCGGCTCGGCGGCGCCCCGCGGGCCGCGCTCGCTCCGCGCCCCCCGCGCCTCCCCCGCGCCGCCGCCCCCCGCGCCCGCTCCGACGCGCCCGGCGCGCGCGGTGCCTCCGCCTCTCGGAGAGGACAGGGCGGGCGGGGGCACCAGGCTTCCGCCGCCGCCGCCGCCGCCGAGGCCCGCGCCCCGCGCCCCGCGCCCCCCGCGCACGCCCGTCCGCCCGCGGCCTCGCAGCCGAGCCGAGCCGAGCGGAGCCGGCGGCCGAGCCGAGCCGAGCCGAGCCGCGCCGAGCCGGGCCGAGCCGAGCCGAGTGGAGTCGGCGGCCGAGCCGAGCCGGGCCGAGCCGGGCCGAGCGGAGCCGAGCGGAGCCGGCGGCCGAGCCGAGCCGAGCCGAGCCGCGCCGAGCTGCGCCGAGCCGAGCGGTTCCCCCGAACCGAGCCAGGCGAGAGCTGGCAGTTGCCAAGACAGGGGCGAATGGTTCCTGTGCCCGCCAATCAAAATATCCGACCAATCAGAAGCAGCCGAGCTCGGAGCCCCGCCCCCCGCCACCGCCCGGCGAGCTCTAGGCGAGCCCAACTCCCGAGGGCGCGGCCGGCTGGAGCTCGGCTGCGTCGAGGCTGTGTCCGTGCCGGCTCAGAACTAGACCGGTACCAGACTGGGGATGCACCCGGATGGGTCAGAACTGGACCAGGGTTGGATCGGATTGGCCCGGGGTTTGGAAGCCGCCTGGGTCGGAAAGGACCGCAGTTCTGTCGGGGCTGGCGCTGTCAGTCTGGAGGCGTCTGGAGTGCGGACTGCGTCGGGGCTGCCTGGCCGGGGGCCGCTGAGCGCTCCGGCAGGTGCAGCGCCGGAAGCGGGTTTCCAGAGCCCTGAAGGGCAGGGGTGCTAGGTGAGAGTGGGGGGCAGTGCGGGCTGCAGGGGGGCAGTGGGTGAGAGTGAGGGGGCAGTGCGGGCTGCAGGGGGGCAGTGGGTGAGAGTGAGGGGGCAGTGCGGGCTACAGGGGGGCAGCGGGTGAGAGTGAGGGGGCAGTGCGGGCTGCAGGGGAGCAGTGGGTGAGAGTGAGGGGTCAGTGCGGGCTGCAGGGGTGCTGGGTGAGAGTGAGGGGTCAGTGCGGGCTGCAGGGGTGCTGGGTGAGAGTGAGGGGGCAGTGCGGGCTGCAGGGGAGCAGTGGGTGAGAGTGAGGGGTCAGTGCGGGCTGCAGGGGTGCTGGGTGAGAGTGAGGGGGCAGTGCGGGCTGCAGGGGTGCTGGGTGAGAGTGAGGGGGCAGTGCGGGCTGCAGGGGAGCAGTGGGTGAGAGTGAGGGGTCAGTGCGGGCTGCAGGGGTGCTGGGTGAGAGTGAGGGGGCAGTGCGGGCTGCAGGGGTGCTGGGTGAGAGTGAGGGGGCAGTGCGGGCTGCAGGGGGGCAGTGGGTGAGAGTGAGGGGTCAGTGCGGGCTGCAGGGGTGCTGGGTGAGAGTGAGGGGTCAGTGCGGGCTGCAGGGGGGCAGTGGGTGAGAGTAAGGGGTCAGTGCGGGCTGCAGGGGGGCAGTGGGTGAGAGTGAGGGGTCACTGCGGACTGCAGGGGTGCTGGGTGAGAGTGAGGGGTCAGTGGGGTCTGCAGGGGGGCAGTGGGTGAGAGTGGGGGTCAGTGCGGGCTGCAGGGGCTCTGGGTGAGAGTGAGAGGCAGTGCTCGTTGCAGGGGCAGGGGTGGGGTGCAGAGTCCCCAGACTGGGCACTGCCTGGTGACAACAGACAGGTCCTCAGAGGCAGTGCAGAGGTTTGGGCAGGGAGGGGGCAGGTCAGTTCTCTGGGTTCCCCCTGCCGACTGCAACTTGCCCACAGGTCACTGCTGTTCTGGGGCTGTGGAGGCACCTGCCCACCCACCCCTGAAAACCGCACTCCTGCCCACTCCTCTCTGGGACAGCCTCATCCCTGCCCCCCCCCCCTTCTGGACAGCCTCATTCCTGTCCAATCCCTCTGGGACAGCCTCACCCCTGCCCACCCACCTCTGGGACAACCTCCCCTGCCCTTCCAGGGGTGTCAGCTCAGCTCACTCCTGTGCTCCCGCAGGGTCTGTGGCAGTTTCTCCTGTGTGATATTGTGGTATTGACTGCATGCCTCACAGGCTTTGTGTGTTCCAAACCTGCGTGGGCTAGAGCAGGGCCCAGCCTGACATGCCGGCGGGACATGCAGACATGTGACAGCTGAGTCTTGGGGCGCGCTGGGGTTCTGCCTGGCCTGGCTGGCATGTCACCATGCTTGCAAAGCATGCCCGAGGCAGCAGAGAAACTGCTTGCATCCCTGCCTCTCCACCGCCCACACACTGACTCTATGATGCCGTCCCCGGGATGTGACTTAATGTCGCCTGGAGCTCAGCCTGACTGAGTGCAGTGGCAGGGCCTCCCAGGACCCCAGAGCCTGGGAATGAGCTGATGTCCGCTCAACTGGGTCTTATTATGAGTTTGTCTCGCAGAATTAGGAACTGGTCACAGGGCCCCAGTGCAGTAGCTGTGCTATCAAGTGAGGTCGGGGCTCAACAATGGAAGGGGGGCCTGGCTGTGGGCAACTAGGGTGGGGGCTGCAGCCTCACACACACTGCGGGAATCCGCGCCTCAGGGGCCCGCCAAGACCGCACCCACACGCCATCTCTGTGCCAGCCGCTCCCCACCCTTGTCCACACCCTTGTGGGTGCCAGACTGGGCTGGGGTGTGGTCACCCGTGTCGGTTACCTCCTGCCGAGTGTGTCTGCACACACGTTCACACACTCATAGACTCACCCACATGAATACATGTGCTAATATGCCCACATGTATCCTCACACTCATGTGTTGTGCAAACATGTTTACAGAATTCATGCACATGCACTCACACCTGTGCTCACACACCCCTGCTTCACACCCATGCTTACACCCATGTTCACACTCATTCCCATGCTCACACACACCCATGCTCACACACCTGTGCTCACCCCCATGCTCACACTCACTCCCATGCCCACATACACCCCTACTCACGAACCCGTGCTTACACCCATGCTCACACTCCCATGCTCACACACTTGTGCTCACACACATACTCATACTCTTACACACACCCCTGCTCACCTGTGTTTACACACATCCATTCTCAAACACCCCCATACTCTCACACTCACATCCATGCTCACACACATGTACTCACACACCCCAGGCTCATATATACCTGTGCTCACACTCATCCATGTTTACACAACATCCGTACTCACGCATATCTGTACTTACACACGTCTGTGTTCAATCATCCAGGCTCACACTCACATCTGCACTTACATGCATTTATATGTGCTCACACTCATCCGTGCTCACACTCCACCCATTCTCACACTCATATCCGTGCTCACACACATCTGTGCTCATATTCCATTCAGGCTCACACTCAGATCACACACATACCCACTCTCACACTCATCCCACTGTGCTCATATTCCCGTACAGATTCACACCCTTGCATCACTCACACACGAGGGCGACTGTCTTGCCATCCTGGCCAGGAGGGACTGCAGCCGAGCTGTGGGGCCCTGCAGGCGATGCCACAGGCCCCGGGCACTGACGAGAGCCATAGGGGACACCAGAGCAGGGGTGAGAACAGGAGCCCTTTTCTGCTTCCTCTACGGTTCCCCAGCAGGCTGGGACCCATCAATAACCAGTAGCCTCTCTGGGGTGAAATCCTCTTCGCGGATGGGGACTTGGGGTTCTCTGGCTGCAGCAATGGTCACAGCCGTGAGTTCTCAGAGTGACTAGCCCCAAGTGCCCCATTGCAGAACAGAAGTGGGGCAGGCACTGTAGGGGGTGGCCAGCAAGGTCCTCAGGAGCTTGGTCTGTCCCGGTCCTGCCTGCCTGAGTGCTGCTCCCTCAGGCCCAGGCCTCACACCCTTCCCGTCCCAATTCACTGCAGTCAGGGCTCCTGGGCACGACGCACATGCCCACCTTGTCTCGGCACATCCTCGGCTCCGTGTGGCCCCTCCCCATGACCCCCACTCTCTGGCTCTGATTCACCCACCTCAGGGCTCAGTAGCTCGTACTTAAGAGGCCCCAGAGCCCCCAGCTTCACCTCCGCAGACTCGCCGCTCCTGGGCCTGGCCCTCTGTACCCATCTGCTGCTTGTCCTCTCTGTGGGGTCTGGCCCACTGCAGCCTTCAGTGAAGACCTGACTTGGGGTCCCCCACACCATGTCCCTGGTCTCCCTCTCTCCCCGGATCACTGACTCACATGACAGTTCTCTGTGCCTGGGGCTCGGTGGAGAATGGTGGGGATCCTGGGAGCTGGTGGAATTTCTCCCAAGAGGAGGGCTGGCCACACACAGACCCACTGGACGGCCTGGCTCAAGGGTCCACTGGAGGGCCAGGTCCCAGGGGTCAGGAGGGGCTGGCTGAGTGTGCTGCTGAGAATGCCCCAGGAGATGAGTGTGTGACTCCATTTCCTGCAGGGAGTTGTGCTGGAAAATGTGACCAGGAGCAGTGGGGTCCTCAGATGTCCAGGTCCTGTGAGAAGAAAGGCCAGGACACAGACATACACAGAGAGACCAGCAAGGGGGGGGGGGGGAACGCAGGAGAAGAGAGGCCTGGGCCCAAGGCCCAGCCTCTGGGCGGGGAGGTGAGGTCTGTGGTTTCAGCCCCCTCCTCCTCCCCTGCTTTACATCTTAGTCCACAGGGGGGCTGAAGGAGGGCGGGGCTACGCAGGACCCCTAAGTGCTGGGAGTCCTGGTGAACCTCCCAAAGAAAAGCTATTTCCTGCTCATGCTGGTGCCTTTGATCCGGGAGGCGATACCCGGCCATGGGTGCAAACACGCCTCTGTACCAGCTGTCATGGGGATCCACGACCCAGCCAGTATACCAGTGACTATGGGGACAAAGGTCCCTTCATCCAGGCCCTGAGTGCCCACAGGAGTGGCTCGAGTCCCCGTGACCTGGTGCCAGAGCAGCCCCTCGTGCTGGGTGACACCATCAGGCTGAACGCTGTCCACCTGCCTGTACACAGCCATGCATGGGCCCCCTCAGGCACACACAGTCGAGCTCACACATGCATACAGACGTGCTTGCACACACACGAATATGCTCAACACATGACCTAGCATGTGCACAGACATGCTCACACATGAACACGGATGCACTCACATGCACAGTGATGTGCTCACACACACATGGACACAAAGACAAGCTCCCATACATGGATGTGCTCACACATGCACAAGGCACAAAC